TCCCTTCATCTCTTCTCCCTGCACTAAGGCAGTGGTTCCAAGTAAGGTAGGAGTCTTGATGTGGGAAAGCAAAACAGAGTTGAGAGGGTGTGATTCTTCCTTGTGGGAGGTAAAAAACAGGTGTGTGGCTAGAGGGGAATACTTTACTGTCAGGTATTTCCTCCCTCTTACTATTAAAACCATAGCTGGGGTAGAGGTGAGGATTTGACACTTTAGCAAATGGAAATTTGAGAAAATAGTATTTACCCGGGCTCCAAAACCTGTGGAGCACAGCCGTCCTGGAAGCACAGAGCATGGAGCACCTGTAGGTGTTACTCTCTTTCTTTCCCTCTGAATTCGTATTTTCCAGTTTGGAGTCCAAGGACCTACTGATCTTTTTGGCTCAATCTTTGAACCTGTGAATTCCTTGCAGACATCAATGGTGCCTTGTTCACCTTCACAAGTCCCCAGAGAGTCTCACAAAGCCCTTTACACTTTGATGTGTCTTTTCTTAAGCTGTGTAGGTTTTAAGAGGTGGTGTGGATTGAACTTAATTAAGAGTTAGGAGATTTCAGTTTGGAGAGAGCCGGGCACTAGTAGGCATTTTGTACACAGGCAAGTCATTTGGAGCCTGGAGGCCTTAGCTTGTGACTAACTGGTAGATGGTAAATGCTTTACATTACCTCCATGATAAATTTGAACTTGTAGCATTATATTGTAGAAAATCTTTCTTTCTTTGGAAAATTATATATATATATATATATATATGTGTGTGTGTGTGTGTGTGTGTGTGTGTGTGTGTGTGTGTGAGTGACTTGGGATCAATAAATGTCATAAAAACTCTCATTGCCTATGTACAAAAATAGATGTTAGAGAAATAAAATAATAAATGGCTACATTTAAACATGGTGGATAGCATATTTTGTCTTCCTATTGTACAACTAAAGAATGCTACTTGCAGCTAGTGAAAATTTCTTCTGGGAATTAACAGTGGTTAATTTCTGTTATACAGCATCTCAGGTAATGCTGGTTCACTGGTTCAATATCTTTGTTTCCAATATTAACCAATTACCTTTCTACAGTGTATATGTACCTTCCACAGAAAATAAAAATATGCCCAATAAAAAAATTCCTTCAGTAAGAATTTACTCATTGTATCTCAAGATCTATCTAACCCCATCCCTGTGGCAAGTACATCCAATAAATATTTATTATTTGATGCCCACTTTTTGAAACAAATATACTCATAGGATATTTCCAAACATTTGCTTATTTTGTGTGCATTCCAATGTAATCCATTTATCAGAATTGAAGGCTTGAAACTCAGATTCAGGAGAACTGTTAGAAGAGCAATGTTTTCATGAGATGAGAAAGGCTTCAGTGAAGACAAAGTCGCTGGCCATTTCCTTAAATTGCATAAGAAAACTGACTGCAAAAGAAAACAATTGCCTTAGCCTAGCATCACCTGAAATGCCTGTCTTACAAATGATTCTTTGAAACACATGTGATGAACCACTTACATGTTCTAAATTAAAGTCATTTTGGAGACTGTGTTTGTTGCCAAACACTGGAATTTTTTCCTGAAAATGATATAAAAGAAATAAAGTTTGTATCTTAGTTACTTTTCAATCATTGTGACAAAGCACCATTCTTTAAACAAATTTTTTTTAAAAAACTTAATCCCAGCACTCGGGAGGCAGAGGCAGGCGGATCTCTGTGAGTTCGAGGCCAGCCTGGTCTACAAGAGCTAGTTCCAGGACAGCCTCCAAAGCCAGGCTGATCTCTGTGAGTTCGAGGCCAGCCTGGTCTACAAGAGCTAGTTCCAGGACAGCCTCCAAAGCCACGGAGAAACCCTGTCTTGAAAAAAAAATTTAGTTGGACTTATGATTTCAGGGGTTTAGAGTCCATAATGGAAGGAACAGCTAAGAGCTCATATCTTGATTCCAATGTTAGGAGGAGAGAGAGAGAGAGAGACTATTGGGGAATTTCATATCTTCCCCCAACTGATGCACTCTTCTAATAAGGCTACACCTCTTAATCCTTCCCAAACATTTCCATCAACTGGAGACCAAGCATGTGCGTTTATAGAGGCCATTCTCATTCTGACCACAACTGCATGCACAGGCTCTAGGTAATCTCCCCAATGGTCGCCACAAAGCTGAAAGCTACTAGGAGATGGAGATGCCTGGACCTCCATTCTTTGCCTTTAATGCCTGCCCGTTGCCTGGTAGTGACGGCTACAGAAAGCCACAGTATTTTGGGAATTGCAATGCAAATGCTTTCAGCAGAAGCCAATTCTAGATCCTGATATATTTCAGCATCTGTCAAGGCTACCAGGTGCTCCTGGCACTTCAGTGCTGGTAACTAGGTGCTCCTGGCACTTCAGTGCTGGTAACTAGGTGCTCCTGGCACTTCAGTGCTGGTACCCAGGTGCTCCTGGCACTTCAGTGCTGGTAACTAGGTGCTCCTGGCACTTCAGTGCTGGTAACTAGGTGCTCCTAGCATCTCCTAACTCCAGTGCTGGCCCTTGTTTGTGAATGTTGCTAGACCCAGCTGACGCTGAAGATCTCCCCTGAATGCAGGCAGCACTATTTCATGAGGTAGCAAAGGGCAAAGTGAGGTGAGCACTTTGTCTCCTTCTGTCTCCTGAGTGCTAACACAGTGTGGCTAACTGCCTCATGCTCTTGCCACCATGCCTTCCCATCAGAATGGGCTGTATCTCCTCATACTGTGAGCGGAAATAAATCTATCCTCCTGTAAGCTACTAGTAAGGTACTACTTGTTAGGTGTTTGGTCACAACAGTGAAAGAACTAATACAGTTTCTGAGTAAGAATCAGATATCAAGACTGGGTTTCTTTGTTTCCTAGAGGACTCCACAGGGTCATGTCACACACAGTCGATACGGACATCACAGCTTTTTGTCTTGGTTTTAATAATTTTAATAACTAGAGTATGATTACATCGTTTGCCCCTTCCCTTTTCTCTCTCCAATTCCCCCCAATGCACACGCCCCCCACTCCACCTTGTTTTCTGGCAAACTCATGCCCTCTTTGACTTTAATGGTTGCTTTGCCTTCCTTGGTCTTGGGGCTAAAGGTGCCTTCCCTGAGAATGGATGCTTTAGGGGAGCTGTGTAAGTCTCCTGGCTATCCTCTGAAGCAGTGAAATTAAAAGGAGGGGAGCCGTGTAAGTTACAAGGGTGTATGCAGAAACTAACAGCAGACCTGTTACATATCAGCTTGATGTGGAAAAGACACTGGGTTTTCCTTTTGCCTTCTTAGAATTGATAATTAGAGGAAACAAAGGAGTAGCAGGAACCATGCCACCTGCCTACTAATGACCACCAACCTGCTTCCCTGCCGAAACATCCTCTCACCCTAATAGGAGCTTTTAGAAATGGGAGGGGGAGAGGGAGCCTGTGATGAGTGACTGACTTAGCAGAGACCCAGTAAGTAAACAAAGGAGCGTTTGCCATTTAATTACCTTTTAAGAAGGAAGTGGGAAAGTGTGAGGCCAAGATTTCAAAGTCTGGGGGCGGGGCCGAGGGGGGTATTGCAGAATTGCTTTCAACAGTTAACTCTTTTCCACCCTGACATTCTACAGCTCCAAAAGTTTCAGTGGCTGGAATAACTGACAAGTTGTGGGCACTGAGCAACTATTCACTGAAGAAAGCTGGGAGCTCCGCCATTTAAACACAAAGCCAAGGACTTCCCAGGCCGCAGCCGGCTCTGTCGGGGTCACCGCAGCACTGACTGCCCAGAGACTCGCCAGGAAGCACCCGCGGCTGGCCGCAGGGCTACTCAGCTAGTGGCCGGGAGAAGTTAGTCACCCATAGCCTGAAGTCAGCAAATGTTGGAGCTTGAACAAACTAGGAGATGAGAAGGTTGGGAATCAGCTACCGGACCGACTGGAGGCACCCAGGGAAAAGAGAGCCGGACTTAGGGATGCACCAGCAGCTGGAAGCCCTGGCCAGGTGGGCAAGGCCAGAGCGCACCAGCCCGCAAAATGAGGCAAGAACTTCACATCCCACAGCATAGGAAAGGAGGCAGGGAGAGACTTTTAAAACACCAAAACACCCCTTCAGAAGATGAGGTAAGCCAAGGTTAGCCAACCCGATTGGTTGTGAAATATCACAGGAACCCGGAGTTGCCGCGGCTTTAAATGAGGCCAAGGAAATTTCCTTGTTTTCCTGCTCAAATACTTTTTATCCCACTTTCGCTCCCTCCTTTCTCCCTCCTTCCACCTTGCCAGATCCTGGTCCCTTCTTCCTTCCTGGTCTCCCTTTCCTAGATCGCCCTCCTCCTCTCCATGCGCCCTCCCCCATCGGATTAGGCGCGGACCGGGAAGGGTGGGAGTGGTGGGGGAAGCTCTCCCTTTAAGAGGCAGCGTGCAGTGACGAATTGTTGAAATTGCCATTGCAGGATGGCACGCTGCTATAAATTCATTGTCCCACCTCCTCGCATCTTCACAGTGCTGGAGCCGCTCTCCGCGCCCGCAGCAGCCGACTGGGGATGACCGCGGGCTGGAGGACGCGGCAACAGAAGGGTCCGGGACGCGCTGCCTCGCTGGCTCGCCGCAGGCCACCTCCAGCTTTTTGATTTTAAACATTTTAGGGCTTTTTTTCCCGGTCTCTTTCCCCCGCTGCCACCGGGTTCCAGCAGAGCCGAGGAAGCCCACGGAATAAGAAAGGAAGCGGGGTCGGAGCTTGGAAGCTCCACAACGGCGGACGAGTCCTAGGTTTCGAGGGGGCGGGAGCCAAGGCGCACCAGTTGCGGGCGGGGAGCGCGGTCGCCCTCCTACTCTCTTTTCTCATTTGTTTTGATCGGTTTGTGCAACGATCTTGTCTGCACTGTGCTTCTCTCCCTTTTCATATTTGGTAGCTCTCCACCGCCGGGCTTTTGCTTTTTTCTCCCCCTCCCCTCCCCCCTTTTATTTTTCTTCCTCAGTCTCTTGGAGCACAATTCCAAACATTTTCCAAACCAACAAAGAAAAAGTTCGCACGCTGGCACCGCGGCCAGGACAGGCTGGCAGTCTGCGGCGCCCCCCCCCCCGACCATCCCTTGGACACTTGACTCAACCTTGCATGCGAGTGTGTAGAGAGTGTGTAGGTAGGTGGGTGGGAGGGCGAGTCCCCCACCCCCGCCCCTAAAACTTCCATAGCAAATAGCAAACATCCAGCCAGATTCAAATCGCGCAGCCCCTCCCGGTGGGCAGCGCACTATGCGGCTCCAGTGGGCGTCCCTGCTGCTGCTGCTGTGCGCGTCCTGCCTGTCCCTGGCCGCTGACAGCCTCACCACCGCACCTGCCCAGGATAAAACAGGGCAGCTTCGAGCTGCTGCAGCGGCTGCCCAGCCCGGCCAGCGGCAGGGGGAGGAGACGCAGGAGCTGAACCATCCGAATCTCCTGGCCAGGCAGCGCAGGAGCAGCGGGCTGGTGCAGAATGTAGACCAGCTCTACTCTGGCGGTGGCAAGGTGGGCTACCTTGTCTACGCGGGCAGCAGGAGGTTCCTGCTGGATTTGGAGAGGGATGACTCAGTGGGCACCGCTGGTGGCATCCTTACTGCAGGAGGCGGGCTAAGTGCACCATCTAGCCACCGGGGTCACTGCTTCTACCGGGGCACCGTGGATGGTAGCCCAAGATCTCTAGCTGTCTTTGACCTCTGCGGGGGTCTCGATGGCTTCTTCGCTGTCAAGCATGCGCGCTACACTCTGAAGCCGCTCCTGCGTGGGTCCTGGGCAGAGGCCGAGACTGGGCGAGTGTACGGGGATGGATCTTCGCGCGTCCTGCACATCTATACCCGTGAGGGCTTCAGCTTCGAAGCCCTGCCGCCACGCGCCAGCTGTGAGACTCCCGCGTCCCCGCCTAGGCCTCAAGAGCGCCCCTCCGTGCACAGTAGTTCCAGGCGACACGCAGCTCTGGCCCCGCAGCTCCTGGACCAGTCAGCCTTCTCACCAGCTGGGAACCCAGGACCTCAGACTTGGTGGAGACGGAGGCGCCGTTCCATCTCTAGGGCCCGCCAGGTGGAGCTCCTTTTGGTGGCTGACTCCTCCATGGCGAGGATGTATGGCCAGGGCTTGCAACATTACCTTCTGACCCTAGCCTCCATCGCCAATCGGCTGTACAGTCATGCCAGCATTGAGAACCACATCCGTCTGGCCGTGGTGAAGGTAGTAGTTCTGGCCGACAAGGACAAGAGTCTGGAGGTGAGCAAGAATGCCGCCACGACACTCAAGAACTTTTGCAAGTGGCAGCACCAACATAACCAGCTGGGCGATGATCATGAGGAGCACTACGATGCAGCCATCCTGTTCACCCGAGAGGTAGGTGCGGCGGGTGGGTGCCCGGCTCTGGGATGTGGAGCCAGGTGGAAAGGGATGGTCTTGCAGGTGGCTCTGCTGCTGCCATGCACGACTTGCTGCTCACTGTAGATTTAATTGCGTCTTGCAGGAAACTCAGCCTCCGGCCCCATTCAGGCATCTCAATTAGCCTCCGTAGCAATTCCCGCTTTTAAATGAGGAGATCTGCTTAGGAGATCAGCACTCAACAACTCTTGATGTCACCCAGTCAGACAGAACAACATGGTGTATGGGTAGTATGATAAGTGGACAGGTTCTTGCTTGAGGAAGGTGAACAGTTAAATGGCAAAAGGACAAAGCAAAATTGCCTTTGAAATCGTGTTTTGTACTTCCCAGGGGAGACAAAAAAAGTACTACTTTGTCCAACTTAATGGGAAGGACTTAGAAGTTGGCAGCCGTTTTTATCTGATTGATGACCTCCCTTGTAAATGTCCTTATGCGAACTCTTCTGTAACACTAGCCCTTTCCAAAGGACTCCCTTTCTAATGTGGCTTCCAAATGGGCTTCTGACGTGTCCACCTTGGAATCTGAGTTGCTGAGGAGGAAGGAATGTGGGAGGGCCAGGAAGATGCAGAAGTCCAATCAGCTGAGAGGACAGCCCCTGAGGTCTTTGAACAAGACCTTCTACCAGCGCGCGCATCAGAAGCAACACCCTCCACCCAGCTGCCAAACAAGGGTCAAACCCAGTTGGAAGGTTTGGGTTTTGGATGAATGTTTCTGAAGGCCTGGGCAGAGCTTCAGGATGTGGGGAAAGAATGTTTTCCAAGGACTTCCCCACGTTAAGGAAGATGGTTACAGAGGAGAAAGAGATGGGTCATTATAAACCCAGACATTCTGGGAGGAACGAATCTATTTACACAGTGACCAGACCACCAAGTTAGTGAGACATTTCAGACAAAAAAAAAAGTCGGGACTTGCTGGTGGTTGTGAGTCCCAGGATTCACATTCACAAAGCTGTCTTGGATGGCAGTCACCCCCCCACACACACACCCTTATCTTATCGCCTCTCATCCCCGTTCACTCTCTTTTCCCCAACTATTCCCCTTCTACTGTGTGTGTGCACATGCATGCATTTGTGCACGTGTGTGTTTGCGTGCACATGTGTGTTTATGTGCACATGTGCATTCTACAGATGATTGCAGCTTCAGTGTATTCATGATTGCTGAGACCACCACACACCCAGAAGTCAGCACTTTAACTGAGACTTATACTCTGACTGCCACAGTCCTCCCCCTCCCCCTGTGACACTAGGACCTTGGAGTGTGTGATATAATCCCCCATTCAGAATGAGCAGCCACCTGTCCTTCTCATTCCTAGCATTTTGATGGGTCATAAATCTCTGATTTAAGCCTAACCCACTGACAAAATACAATTCTCTGCCTGACTTGTGTCTCTCACATGCCTGGAGAGACTGGTGTTTAAAATTCATTCTAGGTGTATGAGACCCATCCAGCATAGATGGAGTAACTACAAACTGTCTTACTGTGTAAAATTGCAAATTTACAAAAGAGCAAGGATAGAAAGTTCAATGACACACTACAGAGGCTTCAGAGTAGTACTGTTTTGCTATTTAATTTTTCTATTTTTACTAAGACATCCATGGTATATGAAGGAAAAAGCATTAATAAATTCAGCAGAGGGGAAGCTTTGAGGTCCATGGGATGACATAAATGTAACCCACATACAAACAAAGACACTAAAGGCAGCATTTAGAGAGAGGTGGGCACCACAGCCTTGTGTACAATGGAAAAACTTTCATGTGATTAAGAGATTTTCCGGAAGCTGTCCTTTAATTTCTCTGCCCAGTGTTAGTCTTTGAAATGGTAGAACATTCATTTTGTAGGCTTCCCTATGAAGTTCTGTTGTAAAACTATCCCTTTCTCACTTGGTTTCCAAGTCTTTGTTTTTTTAATAAGCAACTTTCCACGTCTGTGTTTCCTTGCATTGCTATATCATCAGTGCCTGCCAAGAAAGAGGCTTGGGAGAGTTTATGAAAGGAGGTTCCCTAAAGAAAGAGGAAAAAATACTTTTGTCGGCAGACCACACCAAAAGGTGCATACTGCCAATCATCGTAATAATGTCCTTTCAGTTTTAATACAAAAATATAATTTATAATGCTAAAATTAACTTGAGGACCTCTTACTCTTTGCCCCTTCCACATATTTTTCCCCAATTGTTTCACAGCTAAACAGAAATGATCCATGATTCCAAGTAATGTCTATTGCTTTTCCTGGGTTGGTTTTGTAGTTGGGTAATTGACAATCACTGTTTTCCAGTCTGGAAAATGCATCACTGTATTTTAACTAGACAGATGCAAGACAGAAACAAATTCATTCTCCAAGTTGTTTTTAATTTAAAAATTCTTAATGGCGTCCTATTTATGGAGGATGTCATGTGCCAGGAGTGAAAAAGGCAATCTTTGGGAATTGGATCTTTCCACCTACCGTGTCAACCCCAGGAAACAAACTCAGGCGCTCAGGCTCTGCAGCAAGTGTCTTTACTGCGTGAGCCAGCTTCCTTGCCAGCCCTAACTAAACTTTAAAAGACTTGCAGCAAGATGTCTCCAAGCTGGTTTGTACACAGGAAACACTTTAGTGGGGCCTTCTCTGGCCTCCCTGCCAAGCAGAACCATATTTAAATAAAGCAAATGGCATTTGTTTTCAGGGTGATCTCTGATGTATCCATTTCACCACATAAGCACTGAATCTTTGAGAAGTACTGATAATATGAATATATGATTCTAATTTAAAAGAGGACTATTAGGTTGCCGGGGAAAATATTTTGATACTGGGCAATGCTCACTTGAAAGTATTCAGTATGCAACATTAATCTCTGGCTAATGCCTCAAAAAGTGGAAATCAAGAAGTCTAAAAGAGAGAATATCAGGACTCCGCTGTCCAAGGGAAGTCAGGTGTTCTCAGTCTGGCCATATGAAAGAAATAAGTTTCTTAGCTATTTCTTTTCAATGAGAAATACCCAGAGTTGGCACAGGGATTCCATTTTTACAACTCTGTTTTGAATGTAGGATGTGTGTTGCTTAGCAGCCAGACGCTCAGCCATCAAATCCATGTTTGGATAGGCACTGAGTTCTGTTCAAATTTTGTGTCCAGATGTCTTCTGCTAAATTGCTTGTTTTTCAGGCGTGAAGCAAATGTGTGAGGAAGTGCTTTCCACTCCTGTTTACCAGCCAGTAACACCTTGAACGTTGTGTCTAGCAGTCAGCAGAAGAGTGTTAATAATTCAGCTATCAAGCTAACACACTTCACTGTCAGGGGGCTGTGCACTGACCTTCAGTAAGGTTCTAATTATAGAAACAGCACCCACTATTTTTCTGGCACAAGGCCACTTCCGTTGTAAATGGCATTCCTGCTGGAATTCATACTGCTTCTGCTGCCAAACATGAGAAATCCAGTCCCAGGGATTTACTCCTTGCTTCCCCAGAGTCCTCCCCTCATTGACTCTCTTTTTTACTGAATAATGAAATTTTAAAGACAATTTTTGAGCTTATTTTCCAAACCATTCACTCCTCTTTAGAAACAAACATCTCCCTGATTGATTTCAAAATCAGAAACTCTTTTACATCTGTCTCCCTACATATGACCAACAACAATGAACTCTTTAGTACTGCCTAGAGTAAAAGCATTGTGTTGAATATGAACCAGCTAAGAGACCACAATAAAAGGTCTGTTAATTTTCATTAATTAGTAAAGCATGCTTTAATAAGCTATTATGCTCCACCTAGACCCTCTCTTCTCTCATGCCTATAGTAGGATGATTGACCCAAGATTCAGACATTTTCCCTCTACTATTTTCTTCCTTCTTAGGTTGGACAAGAAATGGGCACTAGGAGATAAAAACCTTGGAAGAGAGAGAGGGTTGCACTCTGTCATTGGTATGCTGACAGGACCAACTAAATCAGTCACACATTTGAGTTCAAAACCACTTTAAGCTTACAGTAACCATTGCCAAGGAACTAGCACTATAGATCAACCTTAAAAGAAATTTAATAATCCAGAAATGGGAAGAGCAGTCACAGATTAAGTAACTCTAGCTTATCATGAATGAAAGAGTTATGAGAAATATACTGAAAAAGTTGAGCCATAAAACAACAATATTATACAATAGGACAAAGGATAGATCGTCTCATAGTGGGCACTCTGAATGTGCATATCAGCTGTGGAGAGACAGTCTGTTTGGGAGATGAAATTAACTAGATGGAAATACGTGGTTGCCGTCAGCAGGCTTATCGGGAGCAGAGATGAAGAGATGCACGAATAAAAATCACTCTTATCAGGAAAACCAATAGACTCTCACCATGGAGAAACAAACTCTGTGGCAGGGAAGAGAAGAAAACCACTGGCTCTTCTTAAGTGGCTCTATCCAGATCTCATCGCAAATATACAATGCATTGTTTTCAATGGATGGATTGATTTGATCAAATCTGTTTTGATAAAGTCAACTCCCTGTTACTGAGCGTTTCTTAAGTACTATCGCTAGTGTTAAACATTTTATCCCTAAACAACTGGACAATCAGCAATCATAAGTTATTCAAATACTCAATCAACAATTATCTTTATAGCCAGAGATATACAAAGGTTTAAAAAGTCAACCACTTCCTAAAAGTCTATTCCAGAAAATACAACATTGATACTGAGTGCGTATACCATTAGTGATGCTGAGTGGGTATTCCATTAGAACTTCTGTAGATGTGGTTGGAAGATAAGGTTGTAGAAATACAGTATTGATATTGAGTGGATATTCCATTAAAACTTCTGGTAGACATCGTTGTAAGATAAGGGTGTAGAAAATACAGCATTGATGTTGAGTGGGTATACCACTAGAACTTCTGGTAGACGACGTTGTAAGATAAGGTTGTAGAATTCAGTTTAGGAGAAGGCAGAGCTAGCCAGACACATGTTCGTCGAGGAGTTAGCATAGCAGATGCACCAAGTTGCCCCATGCCATGCACGGCCAGAGGCAGTATGGAGAATCACTGAAGTGTAGGGGGGTGCTGTACGGAGACAGGAAACAAGAGGGTTGAGGGATTATTGATTAAGTAAAGAAAGAAGTAACAAGCAGGTTGGGGGGAATCATATATTGCAGGTATTGCTTGCTAGTGCTGCAACAACAAAATAGCAAAGGAGGGACAGATCTAACAACAAAGAGAAATGCTCACTCAGTTCTGGAGCCTGGAAACTCCAAGATCAAAAATCTTCCTGGTACATCTTTGGATAAGACATCTACTCCTAGTTTATAGGAGTCCCTGTGTGTTTACATTGCATTCCTCATTCTCTATGTCTGTCAATGAATGGAGACATGGCAGGGGAAGAAGACAGAAGGGATAAGAAGAGAAAGAAAGGAGAGGGGAGGGAAGAGGTCCTGGAGAGTCCTGTATTATCTGGGGTGAGTTCCATCCTTGTTAAGTTACAGACCATTTTTCCAAAAGAGTCACAATGCAGTACTGGGAATTAAGCTGAGGAGTTTAGGAATGATATATTCAGGTCATAGCATCATGAACCCACATTTGGTACTGTGAACAAATTGCATTGGAAATCAATGGAAAGAAAGAACAGTAATGCAGGAAATAAGTGGTGTTAGAGACTGAAAACTGTGGGTCAAGAAAGGTTTAATAAAAAAAAGACAAATATGGGCAAGTTAAGCTTCTATAGGAGATAGAATATTTCAGTTTATTGTCTGGGGACCAAAATTCAAATGGCCTATGCAGAAAATAGTTGCCAGGATAGGGCCTGAAGAAGGTCAGAGTACATTGTGTTGTGCTGTCAGTAGAACTGTGTGGAAGAAGCATGGGCATCCCAAACATTGTGATGCCTTACCCTTGCTTTTAACTCTCCTGTTGCCCTTACCAGGAACTACTGCTGTATAAAGTGTTCTTCTTCAAACTGCTGCCCTTGGGAAGTCTGCCCTTATCAGAATTTATGTTGCCTCAAATTCCTTATGTCAGCATATTTTTACTGCATGGGAAAACAATCAATCAAGACGAGAAATTCTGCCACTCCTGTGGCATTCTTTGCTTGGATAGCGATGCCCTCTCAGTGTTTGGCTCTGCTTCCCATCAGGTAGTAAGCATGGATGCTTTCTAAGCTCCCCTCTGAGCACTAAAGCTCTAAGTGCCATGATTTGCTGCCTCCCCATACCCTTCTCCATCCTCACAAATAGGTCTGAGGTACTACTAGTATTTCTGAATGACCTGAAAAGTCACAAAGTCCCCATATTCAGTCTCTGTGACAGTGACAGGGCTAATGACTTCCTTGTGGAAACTTTTTAGTCCTGAAGATGATCTCAGATATATCTTGAAGATAAATCGACTGTCTTTGCCCTGTAGCCTGGTCAACTCCATACCACGGGACCACAGTCAACTCCTATCCTACTTTCAGAACACTTATATTTTACTCAGTTTTCCACTGTATCATTCAATACCCAATAATAAGATGATGTTTATTTTAAACAGAAAACCACTGCCAGAAAAATATACAATTTGCTTCCTGATGGATATTGAGTAAGCAGACATTTGTCAGCACTTTTAGTTCACTTATCTGTTTCATAGATGCTGAGTTGCCTTCTTTAGTGTCTCCTACCTCCATTTCTAGAATGCATACCAATATATATGCTCTAATGTGTGCACATTAGCATGTGATCACTCCAGGACTATCTCTACCCTTCCTCTGAATTTGAAGGCTATAAACTTGAAGGCTAACAAACATGTAAGTTCTGTTGTAAAGGGGGTCACCAGAAAACCAAAGATGCAAAATGCTATCTTTAGTAATTTGATATATAGTCTTCACACCTTTAAAAGCATTTTGGTTTACAATGTTCCTATGTTTTTTGTACACCTTGAGGGTGAAACCATAACTACACTAAAAATGATCGAAATTGCGTGAGAGAAATGGAAAGTTTTCAGTTTATAATTACAGCTGTGGAAGTATAATGGGGTGGCTATGTAGTCAAGGGGCTTAATCAGTACGGTTAAAAAAATAACAAGTGCTTTCTGTTCATAATTTAGTCGCATGCACAATTTCCATGGCAAAAGGCCAAATGCATTTAATGCAATTCAAAGAAAACAAGGAGGGTTGATGGCCTCTAATGAGCAATTGATTAGCAGTAAACAGAGATAATAAGATTCCAGTTTCCACTCCATTGGGAAGAGGAAGGCCATTTCCTTTTGCATTGGCTCCAAGCTGATTAGTGACACAAAGAGTAGAAGTCAAGTCTTGGATTTTACTATTTGAAGATAATCAACTCCAAATTATTATGATAACCATAAATCTTGGTTTAAAAACATATGTATATGTAAAACTAACCTACTGTGTGTAAGGATTGAACCGTGACCAGGGATCTGGTCTTAAACTTGCTAAAATGATGAAAGGGAAGGTTAAAAATGTGTTATATTGTTATCTCAAATAGCAATCATTATGCAAAAGGCGAATCAAATTTCAATTTTTAAAGCTGCTTATTTGTTCTTAGCAGCTGTAATTTGGGATCTCCTGGGATGACAAGGAAGGATACCCAGGGAAGCTTTCAGGGTGGGGGCTGTGATTCACAGCGGCTTCTTGATGACACTTTCACTATCTGAAGCTGTAATAACATGGTGGCTGGTCACTGGGTAGCTCAATACAGCTGAAAGTCACACTATAAGCAGCACAAGAAGGACCTGAAAACATAGATGAGAGAAGGGAATCGGGTATAGCTTTTACGTCTTGCTCGTCTTTGCTGCACTTCTATACAGAAAAGCAGAGAGGAGTGAGGAGCACCTGTTGTCACTGAGTCTGCACACTGGACATGCAGGAATACACCTTGCACCTGTGTGCCTGAAGGCTGCTGAGGTCCACCAGCCAGCAGCACAATAAGGATATATTAGGACCATTACATTGAGTCTGACTGTATCTCAACATTTAATTTAATTAAGCAAATGTTGGTGGAGTCCCTACTGTAAGATACACATTGTGAGCAGATGACAGCTGTAATAGAAACAGTACTTCTTTCCCAAACTAATATTTTAATCTGCTTCCAGGGTTGGTTATTAACTTACAGCTTACTTGGGAATGCTATATTGTTCTTTTTGTTGTAATGAGTTTCAATGAAATTCATAACTATGCACAAGAAATTTTTGTCTATCAAAAGATTAATTAACACTTAAAGAGAATGTTACTAGAAATTAGACAAAGTTGTGGTTTCTATTATCTTCCTTATGCTTCGTTTCTTTAATGTCTTGGTGTCTTTAGCTGATCTTTAAAAATTAGTGTGATGTGATCATTTTTGCTTATGAGGATCTCTTAAAATCTGTGGAACTTCTCAAGACTAAAATGAATATACTCATCTCTACCTATACAGCATACTTATATCACATGTGTTTTCTCATGTGTGATGTGACCAGGTTGAGACACACTGTTCTAAAACCTATGAGCAATATGGCTTGGTGGATAAAGGTGCCTGCTGCCAAGCTTGACAAACTGAGTTTGTCCTGGACTCTCGTGGTGGAAATGGAAAATGTGACTCCCACAAGTTATCCTCTGACCACCATACATGTACGATGACGCACACACATGTTCACAACCCAATAAATGAGTGTGAAGCAATTAAAAAGCTATGTGTGGCCCTACATAGGTTTCTGAAGACAAAGTATATAAAGTTACAATTCGACAGGGAAATTCAAAACAAATATTTCAAGTAACAATGGACAGACAAAAGTGTGGGAAGCTGTCTTTTGGGGGGCTGCAGTTAGAGCCAGCTGACTCGCCCAAGGTTTGTGCCTGGGGGAAGGGGGTGTGGATAATGCAAAGGCTAGCTAAAGATATTAAGAGAAAGACAGAGACAGAGGATAAAATCAGGAGGGCAAGTCAGTCGGTACTGAATGCTGAATGCCCCAGGTTTATTTTTCACCATTCTTAAAGACCTTAACCAAAAGGGGAAAATGGTATCATATATAAAGAACAAACAGACTTTTTTCCTCAATTCTTCAAGGATTCAGTAACCACACCTTATATTTAATTTCCTGTTATCTGGCCTTGAGGGTCAGGAGTAGCCACACCTCAGACCAAGTCTGTTGTTAGTTAGACAAGATACCCAAGGCCAAGAGCAAACATCCTACTGTAGCCACGTCTTAGACCTTTAGGTTTTATGACCTACTAAGGACAGTTTTTGAACTCCCTGACCTTGAGTCAAGATGGAGTGGAACAACCTTTCTGGGCTCTGACACAAAAGTTTGTTTTTCTATCTAATTATACATGTCGACTAAAGTTTGTTTCTTGCATAAATGACTGAATATATGCATATATGCAAATATATGTATAAACACAAATACCTTAGAAATATATATCCTATCACAAATGTGCGACTATAGACTGACTCTAACATAAAACAAATTACTCATCGTCTCTCCCAAGAAATTCAGCCTGAATTAAGTGAGGATTGTTGGCCTTTCCATGTTGAACACATGTAACTTGACAGTTGTGCATGCACTGCCCTTTTCAGGCTCTGGGGCTTGGGTTGTAATGGACAAGCTGTAATCATGGCATCCTCTAAAATGTCGTTGAATTTGTTTTATCCTTCTGTGCTTCTGGATTGCAAAGTAGCCCAGAAGACTTTCTGCTTTGAATTTGGCTTTGGAAGGCTTCCAGCACTGAGCAGGTGACACCATAAATATATCTCAGTCTTGCCATTTGGGTGAGCAAGTGGCTGTCCATGGTGGCTCCTTCTGGATGTAAATTGATTTTAATGATTTCTTTCTTTCTCCCGGGCAGGATTTATGTGGGCATCATTCATGTGACACCCTGGGAATGGCAGACGTTGGGACCATATGTTCCCCGGAGCGCAGCTGTGCTGTGATTGAAGATGATGGCCTCCATGCGGCCTTCACTGTGGCTCACGAAATTGGTATGCAGCGTCTTTTCTCTTCCCTCGCCAAATCAAACACTTGTAACAGCTGCAACAGGACCCAAAATACTTGGCAATTAATTCCAGATTTCTTCTGGTTCACATGTACCATTGGGTATTACATTTGTTTATATTTGAACTTTCAGGGTTAACTAATGCGGGAAAAGGAAGGCAAAGTCAGCAACACAGTAGATGTTTCCTTTTGACTTGCTCCTGCCTTTTTTCTTTTTTCTCTCTTTTTAAGCATCCCCAAATGACTCCTAGACAGAAGTTGTCACAGTCGCCTATGGAATATAGAGGCATCCCTTTCACAGTGTGGACCCATCCAATGATAATCAGTTTGCACAGAAATTTAGCATGTTTTGCCCCATCATAAGTGATAATAGTAGATTCCTGTCAAAGTGAACCAGTAGCTTGTGGGAAATATTCCTGTCTTCTGCCAGTAGCCAGGCAGCTGGTACCAAACTGAGTCTCTCAACATAGTTTACTTTATAATGTCACATATTCAATTCGCTTAATATACCAAGTATTTCTAAATCCTACAGCTGTAAATTGAGGGCAGAAGTAAACAATTAAACTATGTCCCTGGGGCAGGGAAAACTAACCACTGATGTAGGAGACTGATGTACAAGAAACTGATTTAGTACTTCGGACAAAATATTGTTATCAGATACTTGCAACGTCTTGTCTTACTGAAGGAATTTCCCCTCTGTGTCAAATCTTTCTATTATTAAACTCTTTGAGACTCTGCCTTTTTTTCTGAAATAAAAGGGCAGGGCTATCTTTTATATGGAATTATTTTAGAAACCAAATTGAGTGGAGTGTAGACAGTCCCTACCAGTTTGCTGTGGAATCTCTCTCCTCCAGGTCATTTAGACACCTTGATCCTGTGTATTGTCCCTATATGACCCAACAGTAACAAGCCACTATGAATGGCACATTCTTTTTTTAAGGAAGGGCTACTGCTTCTGACCTCCTCTCCTGAGGTGATACAGAGTGAGGGCTTTGTCCGGTTTCTCCACTAGAGAAATGCTGAGCTTTCTGCATTTCTCTCTTTGTTGCTTCTTTTGACTCTCATGCCATGCCACCTGGACTAGAGTGTCTAAGTCTCACAAGGTCACATTCCCAGTCCTCCTAAATTATTCACCAAGGACTCTGTGTCACATAGACTAGTGAAGCAGGGGGAGGTCTGTAGCCAGACCCTGACAGGCAAAGCAAGACAGGCATAATTGCACGGAAGAACAGCATGAGAACATAGTGAGATACTGTATGTGGAGCCAAACCTGTGTCTTTGCAGATGAATACATCCTGTTGTTCCCTTGAATTTCTCAGTTGAGAGTTATCTCCTTTTTATTCATTATAACTCTCTATGGTTAATTTTCCAGTTAAATATTGCCTGCTTAATTTTCCTTTCTGCATTGCAAATGGCCTAAAGAGATATTTAAGGTCCAAAGGTTAAGGAATATGGATTTGATTCTTTATTGATTAAAAAATCATTAACTTCATTTTTAATTGCTTTTTTATTTTATTTTAATTTTGCCTAAATATTATGAGGATATGCTGTAAAACGTGAGTCCTAAAATTTCTAGAAATGGTAATCTCACATAAGGTTTTGTCTCTGTGGATGACCAGAACCTCATCTCTCAGACATCTTAACCTTAACTCACTGATCTGTTTAGTGTTTATTTCCTAATTGTTGCATATTCGATCCATGGGCTGGATTTTAATTCTATGCAATTCTTAGCTATTTCTTTCTTTCCCTTTTATTATGTATTTGTCACTTTATAACTACAGTCTAGGTAGTTATAAAAATAACATTTTGAAGCAGTGGCTTTCTAGTATTTACAATCTGCTTGAATCTCATTCCATAACATGCAGTTTCCTTCATTCCAAACAAATACTGCCAGTGTGTTACTGTACTCAAAACACAATCTGGAAGGAAATATTCATGACTCTAGCATAGATTATCTACTTTTTTTCTGTAAGAAGTAAAGGAACATATTTGATTAAGAATAGCTTCTATTAACTGGCATATAGTACCATAGACTGTCAAAGGCTTTATTTTGCTGTATATAGTGGTCTCAAACACAGGGTCCAGCTCATTTTATGCATGAAGAAAACAAAGTGTCCTCCCTGTCCCATATTCTCCAGTTTAATAACAACAACAACAAAAAACTCCTGAAACTGAAAGTTTGCACATAGAATAAATTAAAGTGTTGGTGGGTGTCATGGCACACTGATCATGCTAACACTGGAAAGCCTGACATGGAGGATCATGGGCTCCAAGCTAGCCTGGGCTACATAGTGAGAGTCTGTCTTGAAAAGAAAAAGAAAAAGAAAGACGGAAAACAGAAACCCTATGATGTTAAATTGCAGGTCATGGAACAGCATGGATTGAATTACACATTAGCTAGGACTCTTCTGTTACCCCTGCTAATATACACAATCTCAAAATCAAATGAACAATGAAATGCAAGATGTGGAAGGTACATAGTCATCTGATGCCCATGCAGGCTACAGGCTTCTGCAAGAGCAATGTTCATTAATATGGACAAGACCCGTAGGCAGCTTTAATCTGCCTTATGTTCTCTAGGCTGCACACAGTAAATACTGACTCAATAGCTAGAACATTTCAAAATGTTTTTTCAAATCATCAGTGTGCTTTGGGTGGAGGCAGGAATGTGTTTACAGCCATTTTAACAATCCAAATGAGAGCGGCAGAGAGTTTTCAAGTTGATGTAAGTTTACATTCTGAGTTTATATTTTTTAACTTGTCAAGCTTTTATTATAGACTTGTAATAATAAAGATTTCACCTGCTGCACATATGGTCATTAAAAATAATCATTTTATTGATGTTGAGCCAGCTTCTAATATACAAAGGGGAACAATAGGATTTTTATTAAGATTAATGAAATCCATGATTTCCAAGCACACGAAAAGGTTTGTGTTATAGTAGCTAGTTACAAAATGTGCTAAGAGAATTTCTCCACTGAGAAAGATTGTAGTGTGTTTCCCAAGTTAAAACTTTAAAGGCAAGTTTAAAGAACAGGACCAAATCCTCAGGCAGACTTAGGAAGTGGTTGAGACACAACAGGGGGCTGCCTGTGCTTTGCTGTGGTTGGGGGCAGCTTGGGTTGTGCTGAGCAGTGTGTGACTCTGCCCCATAGATGATTAGATTAAACATGTCTGTGTTTTGAAAAACTGCAGGGCCACCCCTCCCCCCAAAACTTGGTAGGCCAAAGGCAAGTCCACAGAATCAGACGTTCCACTGGCTGGGCAAGTGAGGAGGGCCGGACTCAGCTTCCACCTATCACTTTAATCTACACAAACTAGGCATACTTCCTGCTAAACTTGAATCAGGACCTCACCATGTCTTTTTTGGACCAGGGATGAAAGGGAGGAATAGGTATGGGTTACATGTCTCGAGCACTGCAAGATTTAATGTTTATTATGACTTTTAAAATAAATTTTATTCCAATCCATGGTTCTCTAGGGAAGGTGTATTGATTTTTTATTTTATTTTATTTTATTTTTGCCACACAGGTTGACACCAGCTAGTTGAACCTAACATTAATAAGTAGACTGCAGTCAGAACGTCTGGTTTGTTTCTCTTTTCAAATTAAAAATTGTTCTCTCCCTCACACAGCTAAGGCATTCCGTGATATTCAAATTTATTACAAATACTAGGTTAGAGAGATAGCTCCCTGGTAAAGTTCTTGCTTGAAAATACAAAGCCATGAGTTCAATACCCAGAATCCACATTAAAACAAAAACCAAAACCAAAACCAGACATCATTGTACAGGCTTGTAATCGCAGTGCTGGTTAGGAAGTCACAGGTACACCCAGGGCTCTTGATAGCCAATTAACCCAGCCCACTTGGAGCATTCCAGTCAGTGACAGACAGGATATCAAACAACAACAACAACAACAACAAAACCCCAAAACTTTGAGGTAGATTGTGCCTGGGGAAAATCAGCCAAGATTCTGCTCTGATCTTTCAGAGACACGGTCCCACAGGCACACATACACCAGCATACACCTGTGCACACACAGCACACAAACATACACACACACCATGAGGCACCCAAAAGAAGAAGAAGCTGACATACCAAGAAATTTCTAGACCTATCTAAGATCCATAACTAGAATATTCCAAGGGTCGCATTCAAATGCAACTCATCTGGTTTCTGAGCCTAAGAATTTAATAGTACTGTATCATGGGATTTTAGAGATTATTTGGTATGAAATTAGTTTAAAAGGAGAGGTCACCCTAAGGTGTAAGAGTTTGTTTATTTTCCCTTCCTAAATTACAGACTCAAAACCACATTAACCATTTTTACTAAATGTTTTGTCAGAGGAATGTTTCCAAGTGTTATCACCTCTACAGAAAGGATCGTGTTAGGGAGAGCATGTCCCATACAATTATTGGAGGTCATGATTCCTCTCTGTGGTAGTTCTAGATTCTGTCCCGTGTGAGCTGTTGACTCACTTTTCAACCCCTGGCTAGACCTTCCTGCACCTCCATGATCCCAGCTGGAAAATTCGGTAAATGAAAACCATGACCTCATTAAGAAACAGATACCTCTTCTGAGCTGCACTTTCCCAAGTAAACACATGACGGTGCTTCTTGGACATTTTTGTAGGATGTGGTGCTGTGTCCCCTTAACTATTGGTTAGTTTGGGATCAGGAGACAAGAACTTGAAATTCTGTTTAATTTACAGACCAGAGTTTAGCAAAAACACTCCGTTTCCTTCCTGAGGTCAGTGTTGCCCAGTAATACCTGAGTGGAATGAGGAGCTACCCTGGAGGTTCCCTTGAACATAATGTGTCTGGGCTGAGGCTGGGGCAGAGTTGGTGTAGCTTTTCTTGCATTTGCGGTGTCCTGAGTTCCTTCTCCAGTGCTGGCTGAAACAAGAGTGTGAGCACACACCTACAATCCACTTTTCAGGTGGCAGAGGCATGAGGATCAGACGTTCACGTTCATCCTTAGCTATGGACCAAGTTTAATATACCAGCCTAGAATCATTACAACCTGCCTTCAAAAAAAGTCTTTCTTTCCCTGGGTACATATTTTTCTAACTCCAGGTTCACTAGATGAGAAGGTGAGAGCATCCTCAAATGTGTATTTGGAGTTTTGAAAATGAACATCATTAAGTAAGTTATCACCCATTTGCCAGTTTATAAAGAAGGTTATCAACAAAACTGTGCTAGTGAGGTTTTTTTGTTTTGTATTTAGTTGTTGTTTTGTTTTGTTTTGTTTCTTGGTGTTTTGTGAGTCTACTGATTAAAATGGCTCTAGATACAAATGTGACTGTTTCCCTTATATGATATTTAGGCCTTTACTGTGACCCCTGGTGTGAATGGCCACTTCTACGTCTGTGCCCATCGCTTGTTCATTAGCTTGGTAACCCTATTTGACTAAGGGAGCTCCCTCAAAACTAGTTTATCCTTCCAAATTGCCTGGAATCCACAGTGCTCTTTCATTCCTGCAAACTGACTCCTAAGGGAAAAATCAATCTCCACAACTCCAAGGGGAAGGATGGCCTTTCTCCACTGGCCTGTGGATCCATGCCCCTGCACTAATTTCGCTGCCTTCTTGCTGCAAAAAAAAAACTCCTCAGAAAATGCAGTGGAGTTAGAGCAACTAATGTAGGCTTTGTGAACACTGACTGAATCACCTCCACGATTCTTCCTGGGCTGTTTTACCCTCTGGGCCGTGAAAGTCTAAATCCCACCTGTTGCTCATTTTCAACACCTTTGTGGTGATTTCCAAGCTAACTTCCTCTGAACAGGCAGTTGTCTGAAGAATTAAAATCTATTTTTGCCAATCAGATATACACAGATTTTGTGCCCCCCTTCATAGCTATTTGAAATCCATGAATGTCAGCTGTGATGTTATAGTTCAAATTCCCCAGATTCTGGATTGCAGTGTCCACTCTGTCACTGCTGTGTATTAAATCCCCAGATTCTGGATTGCAGTGTCCCTCAGTGTCACTGCTGTGTATTAAATCCCCAGATTCTGGATTGCAGTGTCGCACAGTGTCACTGCTGTGTATTAAATCCCCAGATTCTGGATTGCAGTGTCCACTCTGTCACTGCTGTGTATTAAATCCCCAGATTCTGGATTGCAGTGTCCCTCAGTGTCACTGCTGTGCATTAAATCCCCAGATTCTGGATTGCAGTGTCGCACAGTGTCACCTGTTCCTTAGGCTGGGTGTGGCTTCTTCCCTCAACAGCATCTGACTCTGTGGGACTGCAATGCAGAATCTGGGGAATTTGATACACAACATTGTTCCTCCTTCTGGATTTCTGCCCTGCTCTGGGGGGGAAGTCACATGGGTCTCTCGCTGTGCCTTGGTCCCAGCTACTTGGGAATTGGCTGCCTCTTTGTGTGGTGTTTAATTGTTCTTCTAGAGCCATGACTCCTGCTGCCCATGAGAGAACAGCCTTTCCCCAGGCATTTTACAGGTTTTCTTCACGGAGGACTGAGTGTTTTTAAATGACCATCTTCCAGACAGTCCTCCAGCAGGATAGGATCTCTGTCTGACTGGGGAAGCCCTTACAAAATGCACATATCTTTTAAAAGTATAGCAGAGGTGGAGCTCTGATTCGTTAATATTCAGATCGGCAATCCTTTCTGGTTGAACTTGCTTATATGTGTCTTTCCTGGCAGTGAATTTAGATGGCTGGATTTAGAGATCCTTAAAATCACATTATGATATGAAATAGCATACTAAATGATTTATAAAATCATGCTAAAGTATTTTCAAAATAAAATGCCTGGTTGACACAATTTAAATTTTTAACTTTATAGGAGTTACCACTATGTGTGGCAGAAACAAAAGAAAGACACTTTCTTCAAACCCTCAAAGTGAAATTGATGTTTGCCATACATAAGATATTTGAAACCATAAATCCAAAATACACCCTCCAAATGAAGTGAAAATCCCTCGATGCAACAATAAAAATGCCTTTGGAAAATGCTATTTATATCAATTTGGAAGGAAACTCCTGGCTTCATTAAACATGTGTGACTATCTCAGAAAATATAATGCAAAAAGCACATATTGTTAAATTTAAAACATGGATTTGACTAGATATCCTGTTACTGAGGTTTTATTGGGCACATTTCCCTCTTTCCTTTCTCATGACACAATGCAAATCTCTACTCTGAAACTCCCAACCAGGTTCCATTGCTAAAGTTTCTATCTTGGAAAAGTCCAGGCACTGCAGGGTGAATTTCTCAACATGTGCTGGATAGAGTAAGTAATTTTCAGCCATCATAATAGATATTTTTTCTGTGGATTGTGGCACTCTTTAAAAAAATATCTGCACAGCACTCACAAATTAGAGAGGCCCTTGCCAATCTTGCTTCCCGTGTCATTTGGGGCACCCTTCGCAAATAGTGACAGGTACTTGTGCTACTGATCAAACCTGTTATGAATTGCAATGGAAAGGCTTTTCAAAAAAAAGTCTTGCTTGCCCAGTAAATTCTGTGAAGGCTACAACCAAATAAATAGCATAAAACATGTGGGGAATTAGAAGGTCACTGAACCATAGTCACTCCATTGCAAGCACAAGGGCAGTCAGCTGCACAGTGAATAATTCTGTTATGAGGTGTCGGTGATTTAACAAGTTGGCCCAAAGTAGCTGGAATTTGTGGGAAAGATTTCATCTCTGCCGGCTTGTGTGGCTCTGCATTGACTGGACTCTTGATCAGATGGTCAGAGTTCCTGCATTTGCGTGTAAGAATCTCAGGAAAAGGTGACCAGTCTGCTGAACCATCTTAATCTTGATCTTGGGAGTTTTATAGGACTCTGAAAGCTTTGCTGAAATAACTACCTATTGGAATTCTTTTTAAAAGCTTTTTGGATTTATAGAACAATTTCAATGTAGCCCTTAGGCTATGGAACAAATGATATTGAGTAACAAGGAGTAGTTTTCTCTGATTACAAGAATCTGTGTATACCGATGCACTCTGAGAATTGATATCTGGATAGAGGAGAGGGCAGCAGTCTATGCTGGGACTTCAGCATGTATGACAGGGTGAAGTGCACACACATCCTGGTCAGTGTCTTGGAACCATTACTCATCTTCCTGGTGTCCATCTCTAGCAATGCAAAATGAGTATATTGATTTTGTTATATCCATAATACCATAGAGATGAACATGTTTTAAAAATGGATTCTTCGTAATACTAGCAACTATCAGCAATTCACTAAATTAACTATAATAAACAAAGCATGAAGACAATTGGTATTTCGTGCAAGAAGAAGGCCTCTAAATGTTACTTTTTATTTGTTTTCTCTCTTTGGGTCATCTCAGAGAACTGCTTTATATACCAGACAAAGAAAACATAAGCTGTTGACATTCAAAAACCATCTACTGTTTGCTGCATGCCTAGCATTAAGTCAGATTCAAAGGTTTTAGCTGTAGATACGGGAAATGTGCTTTGATCTTCTGGGGTTTGTAGTTGATCAGAGAAGGCAGAATACTAACAATAAAAATAATATGTGGTGAGGGCTATGACATAATCCCATAGAAGTCTCCCAAATTCATTATTCTAAATGAGGTTTTACATGTCAGTTAGCATATGCAATCCAGATGGACTTTGGGATTATCTACTTCTTCATGTATGTTTTCAATTTCCATCCAAATGTTCCCCCAAAGCAACTACTCCACAACACCATACAACTTTCACATGCCAGGAGGGTCAGTCTGGATGTGCAGACTGTTAAACTCATCATTGATTAGGTGCCAAAAGTGGGGGTGGGCGGCTAACTACTTGTTAGGTGGGAATAGAAATTCAGCATCATCTGTAATTGGTAATTCCCTTCTTCCTGATGTCATTTGCACTCTCTCTTTTCCTCCCTAGGACATCTACTTGGCCTCTCTCATGACGATTCCAAATTCTGTGAAGAAAACTTTGGTTCCACGGAGGACAAGCGTTTAATGTCTTCAATTCTCACCAGCATTGATGCATCCAAGCCATGGTCCAAATGTACTTCAGCTACCATCACAGAATTCCTGGATGATGGTCACGGTATGTAGCTTTAAGGATGACACAGACTCACAAAAACAAGTTCAGATTTTTGCATCATGATGACCTCATGATGTTCTGGTCATCCTGTGAGACAATGGTTGCTTGGACAGTGTCAGAAAAGAAGCAAGCAAATTGATTGTCTCTTGGCATGCAATGCCAGCATCCTTGGTGGCATTACAGCTATGGTAATTTTGCTGTTGACTTAAAAAGTTCAAAAGGGAAGCAGTGTGGGAGACCACACAAAATGCCTAGCAGTGGGTGCCCTGAAAGCCTGGCTTTTATTTCCTCTTTCACCAGTAAGTTCCTGTGAGAACATTGGCTGACAACTCGGTTTGCATGAAATTAATATGTCTCAGAATTATTTGTTGCCTGTCTATTATAGCGGTTTGGTTAAGTTGTAGGACATAATTCTACTCGATTCTCTTTATAGCAACATAAAATTGGGAAAGGAAGCTGTCTAAATATTCATTGACTAAAAATCTGACAGCAGATTCTCCTGGAAATGGAATAAAAACTACAGAAAAAAAATAGCAAAGCCATGGTGGGAAAAGACTTTAAGAACTTCAAAGGAAAATTACTGGCTTTGTCCTTTGCAGGCGGTTCAAGAGCATAACATACTTTATTAAACTCTGTAAGACTGGGATTAGAGCTATAAGTCATATGAAAGTACAGAGGAAGTCACAATTTCTAGAAATAATAAATCCAACTCCCTAAGTAGTCTTCAAAACAAGCTGCTGCGAATTTCCTCTCATCGTTTACTCCTTTAATATCGTATAAATGTGGCAGGCAGGACATGCACAGTTGGAAGGAATCCTTGAGAGCATGCACTTCAACTTTCTCATCTTTCAGAAGAGTGTGCTCTGTCTTCTCTCTGCTCATCTTAAAAGATGTCTCTTTCTGAAACAGGTGGCTAAGGTTTGGAGTTTGAAGATAATAATTTCCGTAAATAATCATATGAGTCGAGTTGTTGTTCAAAGTAGGGTCAAGGGAATCTATGATTACCATCTTTACTCTGTGTTTCAAAAAGATTTGATTTATAAACACCTGATTTCTCAATGTGTTAGTCATTTTGAACTTCAAGTAAACAGTACCAAAATAATCAATAAATTAAATTCATTTCAAACACAAGGATGTTTCCTAAACAGTGTATTTTTGTGCTGTGTAGCCAAAATATGTTCATCTTATTTCCTGTCTCCCTATGTTAGTGGTGAACTGGTAAAGCTCTTGTGGATACTAGAACTTGCATTTCATAATCTTAAACATAATCTAGTTCTAGCCTTGCTTGGAAATTCCCCTGATAGCAGCATGGTAGTGCAAACCTGTAAACCTGGCACTCTGCAGCCTGAAGCAAGAGGATTGTGAGGTCCAGGGCTAACTTAGATGCAGAGCAAAGCCATACCTCAAAAAATAGACAAATAATTGATTTTTAGCAATACCAAATAACTAACTTGAAGAGGAGAAAACAGCCCCCCCCATAGTTTAAAGACTTAGAAACATTACTAAGGTCCATCTATCTTTCCCTTAGACTAAAATAAAATGACACTTGTCTTTAGTTTGGTTATCGTGCTGGCCAAATCCTGAAGTGGGGTCTTCGGTCATCATCTTGCTTTCAGTGCTGAGCAAGTCACTACCTGAGAAAGCCTCTCTCGGGTAGAACCTTAATTCTCTACTCTTGATGCTACCATTACTGTTTTATCTTTTAAGAAATAGCATGAATATTTTACTTTAAAATTATATACCACACATTCCAAAAGGCTGAGCTCAACACTGCATCTTTAAATGAATGGATCAAGTTATTAAGGTGGTGAAACAAGCCAGCTTTTCACCCCATGTGCTTATTAGCTCAGATGCAAAGCTGTGTGGAATTGCTTCCTTTGGCTGTAATTTTAGAAGGATTCCTTTATTTCATGACTGTGGAACTCAAGGTCTTACTTTCAGTACAATAACTATGCTTCCAGCCCTTCTCCAGCTTTTAACAGTATTTTAAAATGTCTATAATCCGTTTGCTTTATTTCTTTAATCTCCACCAAATTTCCAACCTTTGGCATCAGTTTCTGTTCAAAAGAACTTCTGATGGAGACAAGCTAAGAACACAGTCATAGTAGAAATAGACCATATTCATTTGCACTAATAAAGATTGTCTGAATCTCCCAGATGTGGATTAGATATACAAAGGAATTGTCAGAATTCTTTGGACAAGGAAATATTTACTTACTTAATCAAATCTAGATACTTTCATTTTTGAGTATGTTGATTTCTGTTAGGTGGTCTTTCATTTCAACCAGAAATGAAAAATTACATGTTTTCAATCTCTTATAATGATGAGGGTAACTTCAGAATAAGGAAAAATAAAGAAAGGTGGTGAGCAGTGGGCCCTGAGCCATGGCTCCTGTCAAAAGATCACATACAGATGTAGTATTCCAGTAGTGGCTCTCCAGCTCTGTTACTTAAATGAGAATTCAAAGAATTCAGTCGTCTTAAATTTTTATTTTAAAATACTGCAAGTCAGTTTAAGTGAAAGTGTGGTTAACAGAGACTGGCTAGCCCATTTTTTAGATGATTGGAGTGCTGACATTTGAAGTACAAACTTAAGGAATCAAGGAAAAACCCAAAGCCCAAGATCATTTAATAGCAAAGTAGAGAGACACATTGGTGCGAAATCTAACAGATTTCATCACACCACAGCATACCACTTTTTTCTTTTTACTTTCTTCATAGAAGGCCAGTGAATTAACCACTCAAAAAACTTGTAGCCAGGATCTAATGTTCTAGGCCACTAAAACTTTTTAGCAACACCATAATCATGGGCATGAGGAAGACTTCACACAGTTAAAACAAGGGCAAGTGAGATCGTTTGACAATAAGGAGTCAACAAAAATCAGTAAACTGCAGAGTTAAAACCAATCAACCAACGAGCAAACAAAAAATGCATATTAACCTGGTCCCATTTTCCTAAACATCAACAATGTGACATCCATCACGCTAGTCTCATTCCTGGAGAGACTTGTAGACATTGGTCAGATGCAGAGCTTCATACAGAGGTAAGAGAGACTTTCAGTTACTTAGGGAAGCTAAATTGAGACGCTCAAATGAAAGCAGCAAAACATGCCACGTTTAAGCAGGTTCTGTCTCAGAAAGTGTCCAGTGTTTTGATGGCACCTAAAGAGCACATGATCTGGAAACACATGTTTGGTGTGACATCACATCCTTCCTGCTCAAGCCTTGCTGAAGCAAAGAGAAGCTAGAGTAAAACTAAACTCAAAGTATTTGATTTATTTTTAACATTATTAGCAGTAAGTAGCTGGACATTTGTAGCACTCTACCGCTGCCAGATTTAAATTCATTAGTACTGAGTGCTTCCTGACTTAGGTCCAAGGAGAAATGTGCAGTGGTTTGGTTATGACTGGGAAGCCAAAGCGTACACTCTGAAATAACTGTATCGGGAGACTTGTGATTCGGACCAGGAGTTGCCTTGCCTCATGGGACTCCCCAGCCCCTGGCCGAGGGCTTTGGAGAAATGTTGCAGTGTTTACACAAGTTAGCTGAAGTCAAGCTGGCTGGGAGTGCAAGGCTTGGAAGTAGGGATAAGAACAGGCCGAGAAATTGTGCAAGGAAGGCAGATTACTGAATTTCCTTTACCAAAGGCTTCTTAACCTTGAGCGAGGCCCAAGGAGATAGTTTTGTTTGCTACTACCCGAAGTCATCTGCCAGAGGAGGAGAAAGACTACGTGGGTGCAGCAGCAACCTGGGCTGACAGGAGAAAAGTGTGTGGATGGTTATTCAGATTATCTCATCGTTTATTTAAAGAACTAAGGCTATGGCCGCTTTATGAGCACAGAACTTCTAACAGAAAATAATAATGGAAAGCTATATGTCTGGATTCTTTGTCAATCTCCAGCTTCAGGAATAGTAATAAAGACAGAAAGCCAGCTTTTAAGGTGAAATTAAGAAATTTGAAGTGTATTATGCTTATATCTTGATTTTTCACAAAATAATGTGTTTTCTCTTTTTGAAGATAAGTGCAAATAAGACATTCTCCAAGGTTATGATGAGCTGTGACTTAAAAACTTTGTGTCAACGCGTGTTGTAGAGAACGCTTAACCTCTCCCCCTCAGTGGTATACATGATGATGTGCATATGATTATTTCCCACAGAGGCAGGCTCCAGAGTCACTTTCAGTCAACAGCATCTGTTTCTTTGACAATGTTCTTGTTCCTTAATCACTTGACCCAGAAATGGTACCTCAGAAAGCAAGAAAATGTACTTCATCCAAGGGCCTCAGAGAAGGCATGCAAAGACTAGAAGCTGAAGCTAGAAACAATAGAGTGGAGAACAGAGAAAGAGTTGTGATGTCTCAGATGCTTACTCAGGATCCTTCGTTGACTTTTCCAACCTGCAGATATTTGGGTCCAATCCTATACCTGAGTGCCAGAAGAGAAGATGGAAATAACTGCAGTGTTAAAAATAGAAAAAGACAAAATCATTAAAAAGACTTAGTCCCATAATTTCTGTTTATCATTATCAAGGAAGACAGCCCTAAACACCTGAGCCTTTTAGGTTCTATTTCCTAGAGGCAAGCTGGGCCTACCTTTATTTACTGGTGGGCTATAGAGCTCAAAGGGAAACAACCATTCTTTCATTTACCCAATTCAAAGGACTCTGGGTTTTAGTTGTTGACCTTATTTCGCATTTTTAACCTTGTATGCACAGGGAAACATGTACACTATGCATGCCTGCCTGCTGACCTTCTGTCTTCTATACATCCAATATGCGAGTAGAAGAAAGGAAGGGGAGAAATGGAGAGAGGAAGGGAGGAAGGGAGGAAGACACAATTTGACAGTCTCGAACAGAACAAAGCCCAGATAGAATTTCAGACTCTATAAACTTTTTAAACGGGAAGTGGTTATGAAGGAGTAACCAAAAGTAAGAATGGAACAGATTTTAAAAAAAGTCAACAGTCTGTTGCATTACAATAAAGGCCAAAATTAAAATTGTTAGAAAAGTGGTCGTGTTCTAGTTTCAGCATACCTCCAAACCCTGTGCACTTTTAAAAGCGGAAGACACAGACTGGATAATCCATTATTACATCATTTTCTTAAATACCATGTAACCATGAGCTTCATAGTCAGACACCGTAATGATTTCTGTCATTTTCTGGCTTAAGGTTTCCATGTCATAGAGATGTCCGTACTATTCTGTTACAAGAGTAAATCATTAAATGTAAAACAAAGAGACCAAAGAGCATGCTGTAGAGTAAGCAGAAACAAAAGCAGAACAAACCTTTAAAAAAATCAGTAAGTTAATGTCAATCATTCAATGAAGGAAATCATTTCATTTTAAACAAGAAAATGTCACTTCCATGTGACCTCTAAAAACATGTGATTTCAATTGCACTGAGTTAAGCGTTGTAAAGACCTGTTTCATCTTGAAGTGTCCTTAGCAAAAATTGATTCCAAGTTGCTGGCAATCCACATTTCTCCTCTCTCATCATCTCCTATGAAATAGGGTGGATATCAGTGTCGGACTACACAGCCATCATGAGGTGATCACTTATTCTGGTTCGTTATGAGGAAGGTAAAGCCACGCCCTTTTTGTCTTTACGTGACTAGATCTCTCCAGCCTTGTAATATCTTGTTACACAGTCTGTGGCCTGTACTTTTTAGGGATTAAAAAAGGAAACAAACACTGAACCCAGCACTTTGGAAGGCCTGGAAAGCATTCTCGCTGATTCTGAAGTTTGTTCGGTTATTCTAACGTCAGCATCTGCTAAGGCTTCTCTGATTTGCACAGCAGCTGTTTCATGGAGCAATAAGATGACATTTTTCCCAGTGTTCCAAAGTGCCTCTCTTCCTCAGTCGTGTTAAGAACACTTAGTGGGGTTTTACTATCATTCCTTCCTATTGACTGGATGGCAATGTTTTCCTTTTAACTCAATGTTTTTCTCCCTAAGTTCTCTTTGGCGAGATCCTGGTTTCTAATGCTTTTTCTGGCTGGCCTTAAAGAGCTTTACCTCTTCAAATGCTCTGGCTTGCTTAGATTGGAACCTGGCTGTTTATTCATTTTCATACAATGCCTTTATCACATATGGACAAATAGTGTGTGGTGTTCTCTTTGTTGAAACCCGAGTGCCGTTGCAAAAATGTTTTCAGTACACTGAAGATTTGCTGAATAGTTATTTTGTCCGTGTAAATAAGGATTTGAACATGGAAGAGTTTGTGTTGGATAAAAGGCACTGACCTTCAGTTCAGTTGAACATAAAACCAACTATTATTGTCTCATCTATTTCTGGTCTCTTTTTAACTATTCAAAGCTAATTCTACCTTTACAACACAGTGAAAAAAGGAAACATCTCACAGACCCCCCCCAAAAAAATTACAGAGAGGTTCATTAACTTGGCTAGGAACACGCAAGCATGTGGTATTTCACCAGGATTAGATTTTAGGCTGGCTCTTTCTAGCATTAGGCAAAATATCAGTCATTTAAAGGATACAAACATGTGTCAGCCCCTAGAAAGAAAATAAGACATCTTTCTATATGCCTAGCAGAGACCACATGGTACACCAGGAGGGTGGCAGCCCCTGAGTACAAAGTCCTAATAACTAGGTAGCATTGCATAAAAAGTTGACAATTTATATTTCTTGAATTGTTTTTAAGATGAATAAAAAGAGCAAATCAACCTCCTGGAATTTTCTTTAGAAATAAATAAGTTGATATATATATATACATATGTATGTATATATATATACATATATATATATATAACTCTGAATGCATGTGTTACAAATGCTAGTTGTTATTTCTGTAATAATCAGCGTATGACCTGTATAATCAGGTAAGAAAAATAATAAACACAGAAGCCAGCGGGCATCTGTGCCTGAGTATATGGTAATGAAAAGGAATTATTTCAGCTCACTGGGCCTGTGTTCTTAGGGAAGCATTTTGAGTGAAAGGGGAACGTTCCAGATTTCGTACATTCTCTATAGCATCCCATTTGCCAGGACCTACCCTAAGACTCCAACTGCTTTGGGCTCACACTCTCAATACCTAAAAACCTATGATAAACAGACTTAATGGGAAAGAAAAGATAATGAAGATTTTTCTGGTCCAACTTACAAAGATTCTTGCTTTTTTCTTTCTCATCACTACTTTATTCCATGGATCTTGAAAGTCTTTTACTACAAATTTTACAAGTCCATGAGAAATACTTAATTTAGTTTCTCTTTCCTTTTACTGGGAGAAACTGAGGAACATAACAGCATTGCCTTGTCTTGTTTTTTTTTTTTTTGGATTCTTGACACTTCATATGTGCCTAGGACATCCTTGGTATTCAATAAGCACTTATTCAGTGAGTGAAAGCATGAGTGGTGGCCTCTGACATCGTTAAGTGCTATTAGTGGCAAGGAGACCTGTGAATGGGGAAGAGGTGATTTAGAACTGGTGAGTGGGCTGTGTCATTAACAAGGTTCTTCTCAGAGCTGCAAATGGCATCTTTGCTATGATGTTCACCATTAGAGTTCCTCTGAGCCGCTCCTCATTCCCTCTGTGACTGTTTTCACAACTAAATAGTACAAACCAGTCATAGAGGACAGTAGCACTGGCAGCCTCAACTCCATCATTCTACCCACTCTTAAGAGTGCATCATTCTAAGAGAATTACAGAGTCCAAACAGAGAGTCTGCCCAGTTCACAGCATCTCCAAGAGCACCACTCTGCAGATTGTAGATGCGTCATGCTTTGGCACCTTCCAGATTTCATTTTTGGGGCCCTGATAATAATTATGCGGAACCTAAACCCAGGTTGATTCTGAATCTTGATTACTCTCTTAGGTAACTGCTTGCTAGACCAACCACGGAAGCAGATTCTGGGTCCTGAGGAACTCCCGGGACAGACCTACGATGCCACCCAGCAGTGCAACTTGACATTTGGGCCCGAATACTCTGTCTGCCCCGGCATGGATGTCTGTGCCCGGCTGTGGTGTGCCGTAGTGCGTCAAGGCCAAATGGTGTGTCTGACCAAGAAACTGCCTGCCGTGGAGGGGACGCCCTGTGGGAAGGGCAGAATCTGCCTGCAGGGCAAATGTGTGGACAAAACTAAGAAAAAATATTACTCAGTAAGTGGTTTTCTTGTCAACTAAAGTCTCAAGACCCGACACAGGAAGTGCTTTTCTGGACATGCATGGTCTTTGTCGTCAGAGGGCTTCATTTCCTGGCTAAGAGGCTGAAAGGGGCCTTCATTTTCTGTTATGTGTAATTAGGAATGTAGCCAAGGCCAGATCAGATGCATTCATGCAGGAGGCAGAGTCTACAGAGACAGAACGTGTGATGACAACAAAGGGACCAGAGAATTTTAGGATTAAATAGAAGGAAAGAAACGTAAATGACCAACATCTTACAAAGCCATCTGAATGGTACATTTCATTGTTGGTCCAAGATGAAAATAAAAACCAAGTTAACAGGGATCTGTGATGATAAAAAAGGGTTGTACAATGTCGGATGGCAAGATGTAAAATGACTGGAGAAAACAGGATGCAATCCTTGTCATGTGCTCATTATTTAGGGTGACACTTTTGATCCTGTATTGCTAGAAAAAAAAAAGGTCCTGGCTTGGGTAGCACTAGAAGAGGGCTGCAACCCTTTAATTGGAGCATAAGTTTCCACTAGGATGATATATGCAATGATAACAATGTACGTGTGGGAAATTTTCTCCATCAGGGTTAAAAGGTCTTCTGCTTTCTGTTTCAGACATCAAGCCATGGAAACTGGGGATCCTGGGGCCCCTGGGGCCAGTGTTCTCGCTCATGTGGGGGAGGAGTACAGTTCGCCTACCGCCATTGCAATAACCCTGCACCTCGAAACAGCGGCCGCTATTGCACAGGAAAGAGGGCCATATACCGCTCCTGCAGTGTCACGCCCTGTCCACCTAATGGTACGAGGCTCCCAGATGTCAGTAACAATATGTGTCATGCGCAGTTCCTATCTTAGCAGAAATAAACAAGGGAGGCTGGAGGAGCAGCCTTAATCTCATAGTGGTTAGATCCACTAACATGTAAATTAATAACAAAAAATGGGAGTGATTTTTAAATTATCACACAAAACTGTCTCCAAAGGACTCAGAGAAAGCACTTGTTTTCGCCTGTTTACATCAAGGAACTTCAAACATTGCTGCATAAAGAGGCCTTCAATACAGAAATCATTAACATTTTCTCTTAAAGCTAATGAAGGTTATGAATGTTACGCTTTTTGTTTTCTAGGTAAATCTTTTCGTCATGAACAGTGTGAGGCCAAAAATGGCTACCAGTCTGATGCAAAAGGAGTCAAAACTTTTGTGGAATGGGTCCCCAAATATGCAGGTGTCCTACCAGGAGATGTGTGCAAGCTTACCTGCAGAGCTAAGGGCACTGGCTACTACGTGGTCTTTTCTCCAAAGGTAACTGCCTCTCTGTGCTCAGGACAGTAGGCATCCTGGGTAGAAATTACTTCATAGAATAAAGTCCACAAATGTCAAATGGACACAGTCATTATTTGCAGGACTATTAGATTTGGAAGGGTTTCATTTTCAATCCTATAATTTCAGTAATAATGGTTTTCCCATTGTCAGGGAAAATAAATTATGATACTAACTTCAAAATAGTCTGTAAAAAAAAACATGCACTTTCCAGGCAAATATTGTAAGAGGACTATTTGGAAGAAAGATTTCTATTTTCCAGCTATTTACTTAAGAATAAACTCAGTCCTTTTTTTTTTTTTTTGGATTTTTCTAGACAGCATTTCTCTGTGTAGCTTTGGAGCCTATCCTGGCACTCGCTCTGTAGACCAAGCTGGCCTCCAACTCACAGAGACCCACCTGGCCATGAATTCAGTTGAATTCAGTCTTTAAGATAGGTTTTAAAGTTATTCTCTCTGACCCAAGATTCAGACTAAATCTTAGACCCTTACCATGAATCAAAACTCTTCTAGTCTCTTAAATTATCAGATACATATGTGGTCATTCCTTAATTTTCACAGATAAACATTTCCTGAATATACTGAAGGAATTTTTCATTATTTTCTGTATCATGCAGAAATTTACAAACATCGTTTATCAAATTTTCAAACATATGACACATTTAAAACACCCCTGAAAACAGCCTTCTGCTGTATCTGTAGACCTTTATCTATACTGAAAAGTCAGTCAATGTCTAATTGATGTATATACTAATATATCCATTTACTTATGAAATACTGCATTTCCTTAAAACATTACATAGAAACAAAAAACAAAAAGCTAAAAATATAACTGGGAAGAGAATTATCAACACTATAAAGACATTCTACTTCTTTTTTCAAATAAACACACAAAGTCACATGTCTGAAAGTCATGCACAAATATATGTAATATACATTCATGAATGCGCATGGACATGAGCACACCACAGTTGCTGTACATGCTGTGTTTAAATGGCTTTGGAACATCAACGTATACTATATCCTTTTTTCAGAACCACGTATTCACTCTATTTCCAAACCTTTTGGAAAAACTCCTCCCCAGGTTCTATTTCCTACACAAATCTATTTGTCTTCACTTTGACACCTGAACATTCAACACACAATGACCACGGCAGGGTTTTTAAATAAGTCTAAATTTTCAAATTTGCTGCTAAACTAACAACTACACAACAAATCTTTGTATTCTTAAGCCTGCTAATGTTCAGACCGCTACAGGAAGTTAAAAGAGTCTTTTCATCAAAGTAAAAAGCCAAGATGATACAGCGGAACTGTGTTATGAATACAAAAATGGAGATTAGTGACCTAGATCACCAGACATATCAGGCAAGAAGTTCAAGAGAGAAAGTGCGTAACCAAATATTCTTGATAGAAAATAAATTATTTTTGTTTTTACTTAGAAATTCCTGTAAGCTGAATGGTTGATTGGTTTTTGATGGTTTATGTCTTAAGGCTTATTTTATTTTTTAATTGTGTGTTTGTTGGAATGTGTGCACTAGAGCAGGTGCCTGGGGAGACCAGCTCATTGGGTGCCCCTGGAGCTGTGAATGGGTCATAGGTCTAGGAACCGAACTCAAGTCTTCTGCAAGAGCAGTGTATGCCCTTAGCCTCACAGGCACATCTAGCTTATTTTTGAATGTATAACTTATTATAATAAAAAGCTCAGAAATCACAACTTTTTCTTTAAATAAAAGAACCAAATCCCAGAACCCAGATAGCCCTTTTGCTGATGTTTCTGTAATATACAGGTTACGGACGGGACTGAATGTCGGCCGTACAGCAACTCTGTGTGTGTCCGAGGAAGGTGCGTGAGAACTGGCTGTGATGGCATCATTGGCTCAAAGCTGCAGTATGACAAGTGTGGGGTATGCGGCGGGGACAACTCCAGTTGTACAAAGGTTATTGGAACCTTCAATAAGAAAAGGTAACGTGACAGCAGCAATGTGTGAATTAAGCGAGGTTTTAGACTCCTGGGAAGCTGATTTAGGAGTCTAGCATTAGCTCATCAGCTCTTCACGAATGTAGGTCTAATGCGGCTGGGGTGGTGCTCCCTGCATACGAGAAGGGGAGGAGAAGAGCTGCATAGGTCTCTGTGGCTGGCAGAAACTTTAAATGCCTCGGGAAGCAGATAATCTACAATAGCTATGTATCCAAGATCTTGGAATGTGAGAGCGAGAAGAAAAAGGGGACACTGTTCCATAAAGTGGTACTCAACAGTATGTCATCCCTAAAGCCTCATTTAGAAGCCTTCAGCCTTAACTGTCTTTATATTTTTATGTTTTATTTTATGTGTACGGGTGATTTGTCCGTGCACCACTTATGCCTGGTGCAGGAGAGAGCCAGAAGGGAGCATTTGGTTCCTGGGAATTGAAGTCGCAGAAAGTTGTGAGCATCATGGGGGTGCTAGGAACCAAATCCTCCAAAAGCATCCACAAATGCTCTTTTAACTACTGAGCCGTCCTTCAGCTCTTTTATGATAGTTCTAATTTATTCTTTGAATATTTTATATATGAATACAATGTATGCTGGTCACGCCCACATCCACTCCTCCAAATTCCCCTGGGCATGTTTGTTTCCCAGCTTCGCTTTTCCTCCTTCCTCCCTTCCTCCATTGCTTCCTTTAATTGGTTGGTTTTTTTTTTGTTTGTTTTGTTTTGTTTTGTTTTGTTTTGTTTCCTTTTTGAGATATGGCCTTGCTATGTAGGCCAGGGAAAGCTTGAATATCTGGTTATTCTCTTGCCTCTGTGCTGGGATTCCAGAGGGTAAGCCACCCTTCCTGGCTCCCTTTACTATTTTTACAGAAAACAATTTCTAACTGGACAGTGTGTTTTTCTTCAGAAAACATTGCTCCCTGAGAAAAATGTAAGTTAGTTGAGGTGCCGGGGCAACAAGCCCATTGTACAGGGAATTATCTGGCTTCTGTCCACTCTGTAAGGACAGACACACATCACTCTCTCCTGATTCCACACTTTTGCTCTAAACACATGAGACTATAAATTACAGTTTCCAAACTCAAATATAACTGTGCTATCAGAAAGATGCCCGAGTTAGCTAAAAGGTCTGACAGAATGCAGGGTTATCTGTTCTTTACAAAGCTTCTCCCAGGCTGTGTATATAGGTGGAGTGTGTCTGCATGCCAACAGAGAGAGTTCCACGGCAGCCTCCTAAACAATACAGAGAAACCCTGTCTCGAAAAACCAAAAACCAAAACAAAACAAAAGCACTAAATATCACACTATCTTGAAAAACCACAAATTATGTTTGATATGATCCTACAATGCATGGCTCAGGAATTATTCTGACTACAAGTGTGCATCATTAATCTTGCTAAATGATGAAGTCTGAATAATTTGACTATATTGGACCATCTATACCAACCCTACCTTTCCAAATTTCAAATATGTAAAACAACTTAGCTACTCAAATTTAATATTACAGATGAAGAAAGTAAAACCTGGAAGTTTAAGACTTACAGAGTTCACGAATACGGGCAATTGTCAGAATAGAGTAGAGGCTATAAGGGAGGTTATAAGTGTGTGGAACATTTTGTGATATGAGAAAGGAAAGGAAGATAGAGGCAGAAAGAGGGAGGGGAAAGGAGGAGAGGAAAGCGAATGAGGGGAGAAGAAGAAAATAGAAAATGAATAGAAAAAGAGTGAAGGAAGATGATGATACAGATAAATATTGTGACTTAGATGAATCTAATTTTTAAGGTAATATCTCCCACAGTGTACCCTGTATGTCCTTTCACATAAAATTGGAAACTACTTTTCAAAGTGCTAAATGCAGCACTTTGAAGTTCTCTGAATTTGTAACTGATATATGTGCATTTCAAATTACTTGCAATGATGAAGACATTCATAATGAAGATGCCTGACAGGTATGAAATCCTTACCCTGGACAGTTAAATCTACAACAGTTAAAAATTTGACAAGGGAACTGGCTTTTTTTTCTTTTTTTTTTTTGGTTTTTACGAGACAGGGTTTCTCTGTATTGTTTCAGAGGCGGTCCAGCCCAGCCTCGAACTCACAGAGATCCGCCTGCCTCTGCCTCCCGAGTGCTGGGATTAAAGGCGTGTGCCACCACCGCCCGGCGGAAACTGGCTTTTTAAGCCCAGTATTGACAAGGAAGAGCTCTGTAAAGTTATGTAAAGATTTTTATTATATCCCCACATAATTTTTTAGTGTAAAATGTGACATCATCTCAGACAGTCCTGACCTTGAAGCCCTTGTGGGATTATGTATCACCTATCAATATTAGATGCTACAAAAAATGAGGAACAAGGTCTTATCCATTATGTTACATAATTTTATGAACATAGAGATAATGAATCCAGAGAGACAGAATTGGCTATACTCCATGTAATTGCTCTCCCCAAGCCTCAGAGTTTCTGACACTTGTGTGCAATGGGTACTCTAGACCACACCCTTGGGAGACATGAGACTTCCTTTGGGAATGAATCTCCCTCTTCAAGTCAGGGATTATGTTCTTGGATTCTTAATATATAATCTTGAACCTTAAGTAAGAATTAGATATTACACAATTTAATTTCACAACAGCCCATCTCACACACAATGTTATTTCTATTTATATAACTAGGAAACATTTAAAGTCATACTAGGTAGTAACATACCTTTAAGCCTTATTATGGTCTCTTATAAATGCAGAGATTTTGTCAAAAGACGAGCCCTTCTTGTTAGTGTCATCTCCTGGTACTGAATTAGCGTGTGGCCTGGAGTTCATCAGGGAGATGCTCTGTGTTCCTCCTGAACAGATGCTTTGTCTTTCAAGACCTGCTTATTTTTCATCCAATAAAACACCTCATTCAAATGATCATAATATTGGATGAAGACAAAACACTCCAAAAAAATCATAAGGCATTAAAATCAATTTTTTCTTAGAATAGTAAGTAATCATGATCTAGTGACAAAATTTTATCACGTGTTTACCTTTTTGCCTAATACAATCTAGCTTCTAGAGGCAGAGCCTATATTCAACAAATAAATAAACCTTGCTATTAAATAAGTCAGCTTACTGGAGCAATATGAAGACCTCTAAGAATGACCTTTGTAGTCCACCTTGAAAAACAAAGATTTACCTGGCCTGGGGCACAATATAAGGGTTTACTAATATCTGCTGGTTTCCAATCTCGGAAACATTAAATATTTCTATGAGATTGAGTAAGGGCAGATTTGTCCATTTATAGTCGCATTTAGTCTACCTTGTGCCTAATGAAAAAGTATCTTTGTAACTATGGCACAAACTGATGAAGATGCAAAGATTCTATAAATCTCTACATCTACTTTTAAAATAATTGCTAGCATCATCCTAATTTTGAATATCTCAATAAAAACAGATACAATGTAATATTATACTGCAATTTTTTAATTTGTCCTATAAAAAAGCTTTAAGCCGATTTAAGCTTAAGCTCTTAAACACACTAAAAGTTTACATTAAGATGAAATTTTCTATTTGTTTATCCACATCTAGGCATGTACTAATCCCATCCCATTGTCCCTTTCTTTTCTTCACCCCACATGTGGACATTCTTGACTACAGTAAGGGCTACACAGATGTTGTGAGGATCCCCGAAGGAGCAACTCACATAAAAGTCCGACAGTTCAAAGCCAAAGACCAGACTAGATTCACTGCCTATTTAGCGCTGAAGAAGAAAAATGGTGAGTACCTTATCAATGGCAAGTACATGATCTCCACTTCAGAGACCATCATCGACATCAATGGTACAGTCATGAACTACAGTGGGTGGAGCCACAGAGATGATTTTTTGCATGGGATGGGCTATTCAGCCACAAAAGAAATTCTGATTGTACAGATTCTTGCAACAGACCCAACTAAAGCATTAGATGTCCGTTACAGCTTCTTTGTTCCCAAGAAGTCCACTCAAAAAGTAAACTCGGTCATTAGCCATGGCAGCAACAAAGTGGGACCACACACTCCACAGCTACAGTGGGTGACAGGCCCATGGCTGTCCTGCTCTAGGACCTGTGACACAGGCTGGCACACAAGGACCGTGCAGTGCCAGGATGGAAACCGTAAATTAGCAAAGGGATGCCTTCTCTCTCAGAGGCCTTCTGCATTTAAGCAATGTTTGCTGAAGAAATGCTAGCCTGTGGTTTGTTCTCATGCACAAAGATAACTGGAGAATCGTCACAGATATAATTGTGGTGAAGACAAGGCCTACCCAAGGCTCAGAATGTAGTGATTCAATGTCATTGTCACCAGGAGTCGGATTATGGGCAGAATCTGCTCTCTACGACCAAAACATGTACACTGCTTCTCATCATGATGGTGACCTTGGAATACAGAAAATGGGGAAGTTATGGAACATCCCTGGGCCGACACAAAAGAGACACACAATGATGAATGTAGAATTGAGGACATTAGAAATGGCAGAGAAGTTTTGTCACCTACCTCTTATAGAATGTCTTCAGAGGCATCATGATCGTGTTCAGCCATGACACACAGCTTACTTTTACTGTTTGTAAATGCATCTGCCCTTGGAATGTCACTTTATATACTGGGTCTATTAATATATATATATATATATAGTACATATTTCTATAAAAAAGTTTTTGACCAAAGTAGGTCTGCAGCTATTTCAACTACTAGCTTCCAGAAAGAGCTGTGGAAGATTTACTGGAAATTAAGAACTTGCTGCTGTTGAATACCATTTTGTGTATTGTCTGACTACAGGAGATAACATTTTAGTCAAAGAAAAAACTATTTTGACAGCAAGCATCTTCTGAGAAATTCTAAAGGGGAAAGGATCTGTGTGTATCTGGTCATTTAAGCACATCCTCAGGTCCACGCATTCTAACATTTGACTGTCTGTGTTTTTTTCAGGCAGCCAGCCGAATTATTGTATCATTGTGGTGTAGAAATTGTGTCATCCTGTGTATATGTGATCAATATCCAAGGGTCTTAATTAGTTTCCTTGTATTGGAATTTAAAAGAAAAAGTATGTCACTGTGTTTTCAATTTAAAGTTTTACAACTGCTTACTTTCTGTGGCTCCCAGCTAATATTTAAAAAGTGTAGCAACACGCAACACACAGCATCATGTTATCTGTTACATCAAGCACCTTCGGGATCAGTATACCTCTTCTCAGCCAGCCTTTAAAATATGTTTTGTGTTGACTTGTTTGTTTTTATTGACAGTTGAAAAAGTCTTATGTTTTATATTGACTAGGTCTAACAGTAATATTAAAATTACTTCATGTTTAGTCTCATCTAGAAGAAACAATCAGTATTAATTCAATTAATTCAAGAAGTCAAACTCATTAGCATTAATAATATTGTTTCCACACCATAGGCAATAATCTCACAATTTAAAAAAATATAAGCATATACCTACTGTATTAGACAACTTTCCCAATTGCAAAGTGTTTGACTATACCAGTGAGTATATAAATAATGAAATGTAAATGTTTTCAGGAAGTCTCTTACCTGCAGAAGAAGGCATTGAAAATAGTTAATAATCATAAACAGAAAATATCCTTTAGACTATACACAGCACAACCCCTCAGATAACTCAAATAATATGACGTGTTTTATTCCACTGGGAATTCTTTTTTCATTGTGAAATACAGCAAAGCAAATTATTGTATGTAAATTTTATACTGATCATACCAAATGTGCCTACTGTTAAAGATTTGCATATAAAGGTTTTAAGAAATCCTGGTTGGAATTCCACTAAATGTATGAGAGTTTATTTTTATTATAGGATATTTTAATATAAAGAATTATGTAATTGGTGACTCTATATCACCTTTATTTCAGTAGGCCAGAAAGAAAAAAGAAAGGAATCTTAATGTCTTTGATTCACGAAATTATTTTGTGAAACAGATCAACACTCTTCCAAACCAATCATCATCCTTTAGAATCTCACAGCCTGGTCTCTTTATACAAAGAAATTCAACCTATACCAAACTAGTCGCCAATACTGACTGGAGGTCTCCAAATACAGACCAGGGAATGAATCCAGTCAAACTGGTCAGAAAACAAAAGAATAAAGATCACACTGATTATTTAATGGTACAAAGAGAATGGATAGAGTTTTTAAATGTAACTTTTTCCAGTTTCGAAAACAATATGAACCAAATAGTTCAAATGTGACCAAATTCATATTTTTATCTTTTGTGGTTGTGTTAAAAGAAAATAAATGATGAGTAAGCACAATTGTCAGCTACTCTACTTTCCCATATGAGCTTCATAGTGTTTAATAGGATTTTTCAGTGGATTACTTTTCCCTACAATAATGAATTTCACTCTTCACGTTTGGAATAGTCCCAGAGAAGATATAACAAACAAACCACTATTCTATGTCTGAAGGAATTCTCTCTCCATTTTAAAATGAGAATCCAATATTGACATGGAAAATGTATATAAAACTCCTAAGGAAAGAGACACAGCAAACTAAGATTCAGAAAAGGGGAGTGTCAGGGAGGGGAAGGGCAATGGGTGATAGGGGAAACCTATACTCACTCCACTTTGATTCTGTGCTGTCTTCTGTCTTTCTATTGTGTACCTTGAAATTTCTCAAGACCTTGGATTCAGGACGATGAATAAGGACAATGCTCAGGTTTCAATATTCCTAACCTCACTTGCAAAGAAATCACTCCAGGATAAGTTCCAATGAGTGCAGGAGAGCCTAGAATGAAAGAAATCCTTGTCCTTTCAGAACAGAAAAGGTCACATTGACACTCCTTGTTGCTTGGAAGCGTAAAAGGACTGCTATAATGTACTTAACCGAGTCAACATCCGTTGCCTTCCTGTGGAAACAGTTTTGAACTAAGAATTGAGGGATAGATCCCAAATGAACAAAAAAAGTTGCAGCACTGAAAAATAAGTAATTTATTGTTTTTGCAACTGCTATGTGAATTTCTGTGATGAAATTATTTATTCTTATTTAACAAAATATGTGCAAATTCTTCTATATTTAAAATGTTTTGCTATTTTTTAATTTATGCTACTTGTTTGTGTATAAAGTGCACTTTGTGAGTTTCTGTGATGTACACCACTGATGGCTTTTGTATTGGTTTTTTTACAGAAAGCTTTCTGTGTTAAAAACAGGTGTATGTGTGCATATTCCTCATATATTTTTAATCTTCCACTCTCTGAAATTTAATCTTCCACAGCTTAGTAGTTCTCAATACTCATCACTGCATTATAGGTCATTTAAATCCTATTAACATTGGCTTTTTCAGGTATTTAATCAAGCAAGTTGCAAGTTTTTGACTAGAGGACAGATACGGTTTACAATCACCCTGCAGAAGCTAAGCCACAATGGAGAATCCGATTTCAAACAGTCTTAGTGTAAGCTTGCAATTCCAGCACTGAGGAGGTTGAGGTAGGAGGATCATGAGTTTGAAGCCAGTCTGGGATCACAGCAGCCCTCTATCTGGGGAGAAGAAACAGAATCAGTTTCATTCATGTCACTGATGAAGATATACAAGGAGCTGCTAATGCATTACATGAAAGTTATGTCTCAGTGAATTAAAGAATGATGACCGCAAAGTCTTGCAACTTTAGAAACAGCTCCATAAAACACTCTGTCATAGTATCTTCTGTCTCTAGAGATTCTATATATGATCTCAAGCAAAATGGATTCATATGATTCTAATAGTATGGGTCACAACTTTGTGTATGTATGTGACGTTCTACTAATGTCAAACTGTCCAGAGTAATAGGATCTGTAACTAGCAGGAACAGTTCTGGTAACAGCAGATCATCTGTAACTGTGAGTACACAATCCAGTTGTAGCAATAAGGCCACACACTCTTGGAGCCACTATGCAGCTCATTGGGTCAATCCCTGGCTCTGATGTCTCTCTGTGGATAACTTGTTTCTTAGCAAGTTGACAAGGTCAGTGTAACAAGTGAGAACTATAAGCAGACTCAGAAGTCCAAGGTATTCACTATGACTACATTTCATCATTGGAAACATGTTAGGTGCAACAATACTAATTCTACTCATAGTTAAGAACAATCTGCAAAACAGTACTGCCACAATGTATAAATATCATACATCTCTTTACAGTGAAAATTGGGGTCATACAAATGTGCTGCATTTTTTTTTAGTTTTCCATGGCTACAAAATAAAAGAAAGGACCATAAGAACAAAACATGTCATTGAAGACAGTTTGCAAAGCCATAAAGAGTTTTATTGTTGAAACTTACAGAAAAGGAACTTTTATGGTTTCTTTATTATTTTTCTCACTAACCAGCAATATACACTTCTAGAGAATCAAACAGATCATTTTGAGTAGTCAGCTAAAATGTGCTAATAATTCCTTATTAACATGAATTATAGACATGGATTACCACAAAACACATCAGTCTATAATCAAGCTACAAATTCTATTTAATCAAACTATGGATCCATGCATTATTCAGTCAGGGCACAGAAATAAAAATGTTTAAGTTAGTTTTAAATTTAAACATTTACAAATGTTTAAATCCACCTAACAAATTCTTGATGTGGAATATAATTCTAGTGCAGGTCCTGTGGAGGATATAATTAGGCATTTATTCATGGGGGGAGAGAATAAAACTTTGACATATATATTAGTATACCCAGTTAATTGTAATCTGTTAACATCAGCAACTTTCAATATGTTTGCTCTCTGGTCCTTACCTTATGGCTCCACTAACCAGCATGTGTGGACTACATAGAGTAAGAGGAAAGATAATACTGTTCCATCTGATTCATCACCCTGTAAAGAAAGACCCACGGTGACGCGGGAGTCTAATTCTGAGGGTGCCTGTCCTCAGAACACACTGTTTTTCACTCCGCTTTCCTTTGCCTTGTCCAATGAAAAACTGTTATTGTAACAAAGGGCTAACATCTTTGTGTTTAGTGGATAACTGTCAAACATAGTATCTCTGACTTACTTTTTAGTTCCAACATGATTCTACAATTTACAAGAAAGATCTCTAATCCTATTGGCAAGGCCAGGCACAGGTTACTCCTCGGAGTTTGGGAAGTCAACATTTCTAATGGCCATCCTATCAAAAGTATATCTGAAGGCATTTAAAATGATATCAAAACTTGGAGAAAGGTGAGAGTTTGGCCTCAGTGTTTTGAATTCCTAAGCTGTCAACAGTCCCTGAGAGAGAGAGAGAGAGAGAGAGAGAGAGAGACAGAGAGAGACAGAGACAGAGAGAGAGACAGAGACAGAGACAGAGAGAGAGACAGAGAGAGAGAGACAGAGAGAGAGAGAGAGAGAGAGAGAGAGAGAGAGTTTCTTTTTAAACTTTGTAATATGTCATGCCATAGTCAACATTTAGTGCCTGGATCTCAATGCCTTTTAAGATTTGCATTGGAAGTACTTGTACCTACACAGAGAGTGTGTTAGAATGGGGGTTCTCACCAATGTGTAGTATTTTAATGTTTGACTTCTGACTGAGAACTCTATGATCTTTTCATGGAAGTACTGCATTGTACATTCACATGTGGCACAGACATTGCTGGTGCTTCTTGTTACAATCAGGAGCTAGTAAACACCGCTTACATTTTAGTAGTGGCCCATTGGTTGAATGGTGAGAAGCATGCATAGTTTTGAGAGTAGACCTTGCAACTAGCTAAGTCAATGGTCAAGATACATCCTGTGTGGCATATGCGGTGGTATCAAAATGAGCTTCTGTAGTAGTGTCTTCAAGTAAAGCCAAATAATAAACCTGAGTAGGAATAGCTAAGGCTTTTAAAAATCTTGAAACATATTTTCTGGATAAAGAATAACGAAGCTTTACATACCTTCACTTTCTTGAAATGATGGCATGTGATGCAGTCATATGACCAAAATCTTAGGAAAGTGAGACAGGTCTTGATTAAAACGTCTCCTTGGCTTTGACACACTTAAGATTGGGGTCAGATATTTAGAACATTGGTAAATCTCAGTCTACAGTCCACACCAACTCTGCTGCTCAGAAAGATACTTTGAACTGAATGAGCTGTGTGGACCTATACTGTAATAATTTCTCATTAAGGAACACTACTCTATTTTGTGAAGCATTTTCCTATATGAAATTAAACTATAAATCTAAATGTTGTTTAGGTCAAAGCATGTACTATATATAATATGACTTGGTGTTGGAAAACATCCCTTTGTTTTTAAATATCTCATAACACTTGTAGCATGAAACCAGGTCCCTGTCATTTATCTCCTTCATCATCTACTTGAATACAGACAGGATTTTTTTTCTTAGCTAAAAACAGTGGATCTCTGGCATGTAACTTCTGGTCAGTGTGCCAGCTGTTAAAGTCTCAGTATTGAAATGTGATTACAAGCATCATAGCTGCATTATAGTTACACATAAACTTTCTACAGATATAACCTTAAGGAGTTTTTTAAGTAAGCCTAGGTTCTTAACAGAAATTTGCTAGGAGTTATACATATTTGAGAGTAAGTTTATGAATTGACTTTGTGGTGCACACTGATTCTTTTTAAACTGTGATCATTAAAAACACTGGCTTTTCATCTGATATCAAACAATGTTTTAGGATTAAGATACTTAAAATTTCTTCCAGTGTTTTAGTAATTCTTTGAAGATTTCATACAATGCATTTTGAATCCCCCTTCTCACAACTTTTCCTATAACCATCCTCTCAGCCCCTCCCCCCAGTCCTTCCACAGGATTCTGAGATTCCCTCTCCCAATGACTCCTGCTGCCCATTGAGTCTGATTTGTTTGCCCAGCTAGTCTTAGAACTAAGGTTTGCCCTGGTGTGTGGTCAAACAACAGGGTGTCATATCAATTTAAAAAAAAGCATTCCTCCTTTCCCAGCAGCTGTCAGATGTTAATGGATCCCCAGCTATAGGCAAGGATTCCTGACCATGCTTCATGCTGGGATTCAGTCAGGCTGGAGACTGTGAAGGTCCTGTGCACCCAGTGGATGTTATCAACCACCTTTGGCTCCTACAATCTTTCTGTCCCCTCTTCTCTCAAGATTCCTTTTGGGAGAAGGTGTGTCATAGGGATGCTACATTTGGAGCTGAGTGCTACGCAGTCTTTTACTCTCCACACTTTGACCATCTGAGTGTCTCTGTGTTAATTACATCTACTGCGAAGGGAAACTTCTCTGAAGAGATGGAGGAATGCTCTGAGTTATTGGTCATCAATAAGTCACTAGAGAGAACTCAATGCTGTTATTCTACTAACTGGAAAGTCTGATCCATAGGATATGAATAAGTCATCAAGAGAAAATTTAATACTGTTATTCTACCAAATGAACAAAATATTAAGATTCTCCCATTTTGTCCTTAGTAATTTCTTTTGAAGATATTATATAAAAAACTCATTGATTTTACAGGTGGCATAAAACTTACCCATTCTAATACGACTGAAATTTCTTGAGCATTTTGTTGGCTGAGGCCCTGTAACAAACACTGCAGGAACTTTCTAATGTGCTCTATCTCTATGACTTGATAATGTGGTAGCAAAATCCCAGTATTGAGAATGGCCATCGCAATGTGGTAACTGTAGCCCAAGTATCATATGCTACTGAGCACTCCTGAGGTCATCATTATTGTTGCCAGCACTTTAAAGGCAAAAGCTCCTAACTGTGAGTCTGAGAGAGAGACTATAACATGAACAGTAGGCTGTTTGACACTAATGATGTCCTTACAGTATCTGATATGTGGGCTCCCTGGGTAGATTGACAACAGGAACAATCTTCCAGTGAAATAGTGAGGAAACTACAGAAGACCATGCAAGTTGCATCAATGGATTCATGAGCTGCAGGGAACACAAGAGATAATTGTTTCAGGAACGAGAAGAAAGAATTTGACTTGGAAAATTAATACATCGATGTTAGGTATTTTAAAAACCTTCATTACTGAACCTTCCAATCTCCTATGTGACCCACAATAAACTAGGTCAGACAAGGTCAAAAACATAAAAATGGTCTGAAGGGCTGCTATTCTATTACAATGAACAAAAGGAATGGCTAGAAATGAAACTACAGATGCTTGTGACACAAGGTTATCTGAAATCCTTAAAGTCTGTCAGGTCTTTCTGGATATTTCCCTGATTTATCTGTGCAATTGTACTCCCACTTGGTCAGGTCAGC